GCGGCCGTCGCCACATGCGAGTACAATACATGCAGAGGAACGAACATTTTTAATTGTTCTCTCAGGTGGAATCCAATGTACTTGGGCAATGCTTTACCGCGAGGAGTGGCCGGAGGGGACGCACGACGAGAACGCCACTCGCACCGTCATTCATTTCCGTCGCCACGGTAGTAACCCAGCCCGCGCCAATACGCCCTGCGGATTTTCCGAGGTGGCACGCGCTGTTCTGTTTGTCGCCACTGTTCCCCCACCCCGAGCGTTGGTGCAGAAGTCCCTGTCGATGCAAGTTCCTGTCGCTTGCGGACAAACACCCATTGATTGATGCGGCCGGCACCGCAGCCCATTGCTGGTGCTTCTTGCATGACTGCTGCACCGCCCCCAGCAGCTGGTGCAGTGGGACTGGGGACGAGAACACAGCAGAACAATTTCAGTCAGATGGTGCTGGCAGCCCTGTCAGCGTCCCGCCGACTCCAGCGGCGAGCAGAGAAATCGACGGGGCAGGAGAGGAATCAAATGACTGCCGGGGAAACAATTGTTTTTTGACATCACTCCCAGTCAAACAGCCGGAAGAATTCACAACAACATCAGTCACCAACAATGACAAAGGAACAGCGACCACCGCCGATAGCGACAGCAGCACCGCGGCCTCCCACACCACCTCCCATCCTTTGCGTCTTATTGTCACGTATGCGTGCTGCTGCTGCAGTGGTGGCTACGTTTGTATGAAGTGGTGTGCGCTGAATATGAACGACGGCCGAGGGCAACTGAATTGTTTTTGTGATGAATATTGGCTGCACTTCCTGTGGACCAACAATCCACGTGGTGTGCGGGGATCATTCCTCTTTTTTTATTGTTGTTTTTGTGTTGCTGTGGGCGCTGCACCTTCTCTTGTGTGCGTGCGTACCCTCCGTGAGGGGTGCAGACACGACGGACCGCTCTCGCCGTATGTGCATGCGGTGGAGCCTTGTGTGCCGCTCCTGTTTGCTTCTCCCTCTTCCATCTGTGTGTTGGTGTTGCGGCAGGGCTGTGTGTGTGTGTGTCTGTTGCGTGGATTGGAGTGTGTGTCGTGCGTGGTGTGCGGCGTACGGTGCATGCCTGGCTGCTGCCCTCTCCTCATGTGGTGTGCCCTCTGTGTGTGTCTGCCGCACCTCTTGTCTCCCCTGTTGCTCTCCATGTCCCTCACTGTGCAGATCAGCTCCACACCACTGAACGACCACACTCACGATGACGACGTGCCGTCTGATGTGCGCCCTGTTGGTGCTCGCCCTGTGCTACTGCCCGTCCGTGTGCGCGGAAGAGACTCCGAAGGATACCGAAGCCGAGAGAAGCGAGCAACATCAATTTCCCCCTGCGTTAGCAGGGCCACAGGGAGCCAGTCAGTCACTGTCGCCAAGTACGGTGTCCGCTGCGGATCGTGAGGACATTCAGCCAGGGACACTAGAGTCAGGAGAACATGTGACCAGTCACTCGGGCTCGCCAATTATTTTGCCCAGTGCGGAAAAGGAAAAAGTTGGCGAAGAGGGACCAATATCGGAAGAGGCTGCCAGTGCGTTACAGAAACAAGGTGATAAAGGTACGACAGGGTCACAAAGTGGCCAAAGTATATCCGAGGAACAAGCAGATAAGAACTCCGAAGCTCTTTCCAAGACAACCACGACCACTACAACTACGACGACCACGACCACCACTGCGCCAGAGCCACCAAGTACTACGACTACAGAGGCATCAAGTACTACAAATACAGAGGCGCCAGCTGTGTCGACCACCCGCGCACCGTCACGTCTTCGCGAAGTCGACGGCAGCCTCAGCAGCTCTGCGTGGGTGTGTGCCCCGCTGCTGCTCGCCGCATCCGCGCTGGCGTACATCGCTGTGGGCTAAAGAGGTGTGTGTGGGCTGTGCGTGCCAGCACTCAGCCACGGGGACATGTGTAGGTCTGCTGTGGTCCGATGTATAAAGTAAGAGCAATTATAATGATTGTTTTTTGCTTTGCTTGCTTCCGCTGCCGTGCTGTGTGCTCCGCGTTGTGCCCCACATCCGTAACTTTGAACGCATCGCGGACACACTCGTATGCATGCGCACTGGAGCCCTGGTTAGTTTTTTTAATTATTGGTTTTTTATTGTTTTTTTTTTGCCTTTTAAATTCTTTTGCAGGTCGGTGTGCGAGTTCTGCTATTCTACTGATTCCAACTGTCTCGTGGTGTGTGCGCTGCTCCTGCTGTTGTTGGCATTTGTTACTGTGCGGTGGACGGTGTGTGGTGTGTGACGTGTCTCTCCTTTTTGCTTTCACTCTGCGTTGAGTTGTTGTTAGTTTGTGCTGAAGGATACACGCAATTGACAGGAGTGATGATGGCGATGATGATGACTGGCCGTGTGCTGCTGGTGTGTGCCCTCTGCGTGCTGTGGTGCGGTGCTGGCGGTAGATGTGAGGCGGGGGTGGGAGTTGGTGCGCAACAGGATGGTGGTAAGTCTCCGCCGGAATCAAAAGGACTTGAAACGTCTTCACAAGGCACGCAAGACTTAAAAGGTGGAGCAGCAGATGCTAAAGAAAATTCACCTCCCTTACCTACAGAGGAAGATGATGAGGATGTTGATGACGATAGTGAAGAAGGTGATGATGATGATGGAGGAACGGAAGATGAAGAAGAAGAAAAAGTACGAGGGCAGAGTGTTCAAGAGGGAAAAGTTGCACTGGGCTCAGATTCCACCGAAAAGAAGTTAATTGGCAGTGAGAAGCAAACAGAACTGTCAATTTCATCTGCAGGGAGCATTTCTCCTTCCGGCAGTCGGGAATTAAATGTCAATCTTACGCAAACCGAAGTTGAAGGAAAAAAGGAAACCGACAAAAATACACCAGCGGTAGAGGGCGCACTCACAACTGGTAACGGGGAGAACACACTGCCTGCGGGAATTGTGGAAGGAAATCCCTCACCACCTCCTCCACAGGACGGTGTTGGTTCCCGCGAACAGGATGACGAAGGCACCACGAGTGAAGGTCAAAAAAATGATCCGTTGCCTGAGACCGCAGCCACACCAAAAAGCCACCATGACAAAGGCTCAGAAGGGACTGGGGAAGATACAAAAGCAACGACAGTAACCGCCAACACAACTGATACGACGAACACACAAAACAGTGACGGCAGCACCGCGGTCTCCCACTCCACCTCCCCTCTTTTGCTTCTTGTTGCGTGTGCGGCTGCGGCTGCGGTGGTGGCCGCGTGAGAGTGAGGGAGAGAGAGCCGTGCACCGCCCGCACACACACTCGTCTTTCACCCACTCTCTCTGTGTGTGTCCCCTTGCATGGACTCTCGCCCTCACCTCATCCCACGAGGCACACACATAATGTGCCCATTGTATATATTGCATGCACACCCATGCAGGCCCGTTGGTGCTCTCTTTTGCACGACACGCACCGCTGCCGTCCTGCCTGGCTGCATGGGCGGAGCACCGTAACTGTTTCTGTTTTGTTTCCATTGCATTGAGTGGGCGACCTCTCTCTCTCTCTCTCCCTGTGTGTGTGTTTTGCTTTACGGGAGCAATGAGAGTGTGTGCGCTGGTCGTCCCATGCTTCGGCTTTTTGGTTTTTGTTTTATGTTTTACTTGTGTAGTGGTTGAGTGCATCCATTACCCCTTTGTTTGAATTAGTGGCTTGCTTTGACTGCGGACGTCCAAAATGTCTTTTCTTCGATATTTTCATATTGTTTCTTTCCTGTTGAAAGAGTGTCAGCCTTTTTCCCTGTGACGCTACAAAGTTTTTTTCTTTGATACACGCCATGCGTCATTTGATCCACGTCACTCTGTATTGCTTTTGGTTCTGCTATTGATGATTTCTGCGACGCGATTTGTCGGCGGGTGTCTTGCAGTCACCCTGACACATCCCTGCCTTTTTTCTTGACGATTTGTTGCGTACCGACGGTGCGTGGGCGTCTCTGGTGATAGTGAAGGACGCGTGTCTCAGAGCGCAGGATGCGTCGCGGGTGTGCAGCGTCGTTTGTAAGAACCGATGGGTGCCCATCCGCATCCAGGCGTCATCAACGGAATGTGAGGACAGCATAAGGCACTGCGGCTTCTTTTGGTGTTGCACAAAGAATTTATTGGACGGTGCGTTTGTTTTCAATCTTTTGCAGGTTTTGTGGGGAAAGGTGGGAGGTTGATGGCATCAGGACTGAATTCCTTTGAGTGGCTGCGCTCCGTTGACTTGCGGCCAGTCGTTGCACTCTTTTGGGGTTTGGCCGCTCGTCTCTTTTGTTTACTTCCCACCGCAGCACGTGGATAACACTGATCCGAAGAACATTTGTTTGACCGCGTGTGAGCTGCTGCCGTGCGTGGTGCGTGGACTATGTGATTGTGTGGGGAGGTGCATTGGAGTGACGAATACTTCTGTTTGGCGTGTCGCGGTGTGTCGGAATGATGTTCGGATGACATGTGAAGGGTGTTGTTTGTAGTTTGTGTGTCTTCTCTGGTGGAGCCGACATGTGTGCGGGGATTGTGGCATTGCTGGCTGACGGTTCCACGTCACTTTTTGGCATTCCTGGATGTGCTGAGGAATGACGGCTTGCGACCAGCGTGTTGGTGCTGCTGGTGGGAATAAGTGCATCGGGAATGGGCCGTTTTCTTTTTTCCATGCTGGAGCCGATGGACTGGCACGAGGGCACCGGCTGCAGGCTGCCTGCCAGCACGTGTGAGCAGCGGATCCATGCACACACCGACGCCCATCGCAAGAGCGTGTGCGATCACAGTGGCCTTTTGTGGCGTGCTTTTGTGGGCGTCAGCCCATCGAAGAATGTGTGAAACAAACGGCTGACTGCACACGAGGAAAATAAGTGCGTGCACTGTGCCGTGTTTTAGCGTCGATGGCAGGGCAGGAGGAAGCCCGTGCTGGCAACTGAGATCTTTGCGTCGCGAGGGATGTCAGTGTTGATTTTGGATCGTCGAGGGTGAAATGATTTTGCTGCTGCCCGTGTGTGTGACGACTCCGGCAGAGGGCGGACACAAAAGGGAGGATGCAGGCGCTGCGTGTGTGCGTGTGCCGGTGCCATGCAACAACGTCACAACAAACGTGCTGCGACTCGGTGACCCTCACATCGTTGTGGTCCTCACGAACAGCCCAGGCACGGCCCACACCGATGCACTTAGTGGACGGAGTGAGGCATCTTTTGAGGCGCAGCAGGGAACAGGATGTGTTGACGCAGCCACGACGCGCATGGAGTGTCACGATGGCACAGCCGGCTGTGGCTGGTGGAATATTTACTTCTCGGAGGCAAGAGAGAGAGAGAGAGCTGCTCCTGCTGCTGGCGTCGTTGCTGCCTTTTGTGGCCTCCCATGCCAATTAATGTCTGTCCGCTGATCATGGGTGGCATGCCTCCACTAGTGACGTCGTCTGCAGGCATTCCACAGCACCAGTGAAACACACATCACGTCGCATGCTTTGGCTGTGGATGTGGTGTCGTGAATGCAGCCGGCATTATTTTGCCCGACTCCTTTTCACTGCTTTGCGACGAATAGATGCGTCCCCGCCCGAGTCATTCACTGCAGCTCCGTGTGTTGTACTGCCAGCACAATACTCTCGTGTTGTCTGAAGCCTGGCTGACAGTCCAACACCACTGCGTTGGGAAATGCAAGGATGTGGACTGCCGCTCACGGTGTTGGGCACCGCTGTTTGGATGCGGCGGCCACACGAGCGGATGTATTGTGGCACAGTCAAATGCGTGAAGTACGCGGAATCACAGCGGCTGCAGTAATATCAGCGGTGTGGCACCACGGAATATGTGTGAGAGGGGGTGATGCATGATGGATCACAGTGGGCGGCATGCGAGGGAAGTGCACCGCGACGGAGCGTCACCCCGCCCTCAGCCTGCAGGGGAATGTACACCCACAAAATATATGGACGAGACACCACCAAACACACATGCCCTTCCATGCACCAATAAATAGGAGCGAAGGTGCGCTCTGGTGCGTGGGAGTCCACTCACATATTTTCATTTCCACCACAATAAACGGTGAGGAATCAGGTGCCACAGCAACGAAAAGAGGAAAACAAAAACATCTATTGCAGCACTTTACCTGCGAAAGGCAGGAACAACACAAACCGAATTATTGGCTGCACCAACACAAGAAACATTCACAGGAGGAAAAAACATAATGATTGCGTACCCTGCAGTAATCCCCAACACACGACCCAGGCATGAAGGTTTGCCCTCCGCAAAGCAAAAAAAAGAACAGAACGCATGCAGACATCGGCCAACATCCAAACAGAAACACAAATGGTTGCCTGCTTTATTCCATTCCTTGCGCCCATATTTTTTTGGTTGTGCTGCTGCTACTGCTGCGGTGGTGGCCGGGCCTGCATGAAGTGGTGTGCGTCGGATATGAACGAGGGCCAAACTCAAGATAACAAGTTGCTTTGTGATGAATATTGGCTGCACTTCCCGTGGACCAACAATCCACGTGGTGTGCGGGGATCTCACTTTTCATGGTTACTTTGCTTTTGTGTTGCTGTGTGCGCTGCACCTCCTCTTGTGTGTGTGCGTACCCTCCGTGAGGGGTGCGGACACGACGGACCGCTCTCGCCGCATGTACATGCGCTGGAGCCTTGTGTGCCGCTCCTGTTTGCTTCTCCCTCTTCCATCTGTGTGTTGGTGCTGCGGCAGGGCTGTGTGTGTTTGTGTGTGCCTGTTGCCGTGGATTGGAGTGTGTGCCGTGCGTGGTGTGCGGCGTACGGTGCATGCCTGGCTGCTGCCCTCTCCTCATGTGGCTTGCCCTCTGTGTGTGTGTGTCTGCCGCACCTCTCGTCTCCCCTGTTGCTCTCCATTTCCCTCACTGTGCAGATCAGCTCCACACCACTGAACGACCACACTCACGATGACGACGTGCCGTCTGCTGTGCGCCCTGTTGGTGCTCGCCCTGTGCTGCCGCCCGTCCGTCTGCGGGACAGCAAATGATATTCAATTGTCAAAAAAATCCAGTATGCCGCCCACACCACCAAAGAATCCTGAGGGTAAACCCGATGACGGTCAGGATTCAGTGGAAAAACCCGTTTCGACACAGCGACCAGGTAAGGTCATTGTGGGAGTGGAACCAGTTGTGTCGTCTACTAAGCAGGGAGTTACAAGTGCGTCTGATCAGTCAGGGAAAGATGGTGAGAACACCAATCTGATAGGTTCAAAGGTTAATTCCGGTAATTCGGTGGTACGTAATTCAGAAAATAATACGGAATTGTCAGAACCTAATGAAGAGGTTAAGTTACAGATACCAAATACAACTACGACCACTACGACAAAGGCACCCACTACAACTACGACTACGACCACTACGACCACCACTGCGCCAGAGGCACCAACTACTACAAATACAGAGGCGCCAACTACGACGACCACCCGCGCACCGTCGCGTCTTCGCGAAGTCGACGGCAGCCTCAGCAGCTCTGCGTGGGTGTGTGCCCCGCTGCTGCTTGCAGTATCCGCGCTGGCGTACACCACTGTGGGCTGAAAAGGTGTGTGCGGGCTGTGCGTGCCAGCACTCAAAGTCACGGGGACATGTGTACGTCTACTGTGGTCCGATGTATAAAGTAAGAGCAATTATAATGATTGTTTTTTGCTTTGCTTGCCTCTGCTGCCGTGCTGTGTGCTCCGCGTTGTGCCCCACATCCGTCATGTTGAACGCATCCCAGACACACTCATATGCATGCGCACTGGAGCCCTGGTTGGTTTTTTTAATTATTGTTTTTTTATTGCTTTTTAAACTTCTGGTTTGCGGGGTGGTGTGCGAGCTCTGCAATCGTACTGATCCCATCTGTCTCATGGTGTGCGCTGCTGCAGCTGGGGTGCTGCCATTTGTTACTGGATGGGCTGCTAGTGTTTTTTTACTGTGCATTGTTTTTTGCTGCTTTCACTCTGCGTTGACGAGGAGTTAGTTTCTGCTGAAGGCTACACGCAAGTGAAAGGAGTAATGGCGATGATGATGACCGGCCGTGTGCTGCTGGTGTGTGCCCTCTGCGTGCTGTGGTGCAGTGCCGGCGGTTGCGCTGAGAATGATGCGGAGGTGGTGGAGATTCCTGCCGGTGGTAAAGGTGCGGTGGGGTCGACTGGAACTTCAGCGCCAGGTCCAGGCGTCTCAGTTTTAAGAATAGATGTGCCCAATGTTAATCAATCAAAAGAAACATCTGCAGTAAAATCTTTTGAAGGAAACGAAGTTAAAACTGATCAACAGGATTTTCCTTCCAGAGAGGATGAAAAAGATGGGAGCCCTTCAGAACAGTTGGAAGAACCTGTGGAAGATGCTACAGAAAAAGCAAAAATAGAGCCGCCATTACAAAACGTAGGACAAGAAGGAAGAGAACCGCAACAGTCACAATTGCAAGTGAATTTGCCACAGAAAGCGCAGCCACAACCGCAACAGTCACAACCGCTACCGCCATCAGCGCCTCAGCCACACACTCCTGCTTCAGAAGAGGGTAAAGGTGTTGGCGAGAACAATACGGGTGGAGAAGGTCAGTCCCCACTGGGAGTACAAGATATTGGAAACGAGGATGCAGAGGCCCCCAGAAAAGAAGACTTATTAAATGGTCCAGGTAAAGAATCAGAAAGCAGTGAAGAGGTTCAAACGAAAGGACCAAAAACAGTAACTCCGAAGCACAAAACCCAAAATGAGATGTTAACACCGGAACAAAAGAAGAATGAAAGCCAAAGTACGGATACATCCACGAACCTACCCCAACTACAAAAGGAGAATAAAGAATATCCTGCCTCTAGAGAAGATACGGCGCAGAGTACATCAACTGGCAGTGAAGAAAAAGAAGCTGAGCCATCTACAAGCGAAGAAACTTCCCCTTTTGAGGAGGAACAATCCACAGGGACGAAGACAACCGAGGATGCTCAAACTCCGGATGCTGCGGCGACAGAAAAAAAAAAACCTGGCGATAATGAAAAGGTTGGCGACCGTGACGGCAGCACCGCGGTGTCCCACACCACCTCCCCTCTTCTTCTTCCTGTTGCGTGTGCGGCTGCGGCTGCGGTGGTGGTGGCCGCGTGAGAGTGAGTGAGAGAGAGCCGTGCACCGCCCGCACACACACTCGTCTTTCACCCACTCTCTGTGTGTGTCCCCTTGCATGGACTCTCGCCCTCACCTCATCCCACGAAACACACACATAATGTGCCCATTGTATATATGCATGCACACCCATGCAGGCCCGTTGGTGCTCTCTTTTGCACGACACGCACCGCTGCCGTCCTGCCTGGCTGCATGGGCGGAGCACCGTAACTGTTTCTGTTTTGTTTTTATTGGATTGAGTGGGCGACCTCTCTCTCTCTCTCTCTCTCCCTGTGTGTGTGTTTTGCTTTACGGGAGCAATGAGAGTGTGTGCGCTGGTCGTCCCACGCTTCGGTTTTATTTTTCTGTTTTGTTCTTCATTGTTTTACTTGTGTTGTGGTTGAGTGCACCCATTCTGCCTTTTTGATTTGCGGCATGCGTTGACTGCGGACGCATGAATTTATTATTTCCTTTTTTTACGAAGAGAGTGTGAGTGTTTTGTATCCTTGTGAAGCCACCGCGTTTTTCTTCGACATAGGCCATGCGTCAGTTGTTCCACATTAACCCGTGGCTTGCAGCGCTGCTGGTGATGTTTGTGATGCGACTCTCCAGCGGAAGCGTTGCAGTCACCCTGACACATCCCTGCCTTTTTTCTTGACGATGTGGTGCGTACCGACGGCGCGTGGGCGACTCCGGTTGTAGTGATGGTCGTCCCTCTCACAGCGCAAGATGCGTCGCGGGTGTGCAGCGTTGTTTGGAAGAAACAATGGGCGCTTGTCCGCAACAAGGCGTCAACAAAGATTCCGGATGACAGCAGGAGGCACTGCGGCTTCTCCTGGGCCCCCAGCAATGGCGTCGCACCCTGTCGCGGTGTTGGGCTTTGGTTGTATATATGAACTCCACAGCAGGGCGTTGCTGCGAGCACGACGGAGACCAAGGTGACTCCACCCCTCGAGAGGGTTCCACGCCATGCCCGGTGTGGAGAGGTGCGGCGGTCTGCCTGCAGACTGTCTGAAAAACTGCACGAACGTTTCGCTGCGGTCACTCCGTTGATATCACCCGTGGCGGTGACGTCCACAAGAACCCTGGCACCGAGGAGGATGGCTTCATCACTGTTTGGCGGCTTAACATTGCAGGTCTCTCGTCCGTGAAAAATATTGCATTTGCTGCGGGATGTGAGCAGCATCAAACTGACATCCTTCTGCTCCAGGAATTAAATGACATTAGTGACGTAGCGGACCAAAGTTTCTGGCTATAATGACTACCTTCAGGCCTGCACTGGGCGCGGTGGTGGCGTTGCCGTTCTGGTGCGCCCCTCTCTACCGTGCGAGCGCCTGTCGCTCTCTGGCACTGACCTCCTGGAGACCTTTGCTGTCCGTGCAACTCATCAGGCTGTCGCAGAATTTGCGTGGTGAATCTCTACAACCCTCCCATGGAAACTGTTCAAGAATCTACATTTATCAATACCTTCCGTCGCTTGGGCCCCGCTGCGATTATCGCGGGTGACCCGAATTTACATCATGAACTCTGGGACAGTCACATGTACCATCAACGACTGGAGGCGATAATTTCGCCGCTGTTCTAATCGATATGGATTTTGGGCTGGCAAATGACCCGACACAGGCAACACGGATCACACATCGTAATGCCTTGTCCCCTGACGTGACTGCGTTTTGCGCCCTACGCATCTCCCACTGGCAATCCACTCCCCACATGGATTCGGACCACTCCTTAATATCCCACTCGGTAGGGATGGACGATGGCATTCCGCGACTAGCCAACACGCCACCTCGACGGAAAAAGCCACCTTTGCCCTGCGCAAAGCGGATTGGCCTGCTTTTACATCGTTGTGTGAAACCCTCCTTGCCACCGCGTCCACATGGTTGGATCTTCGCGGAGGCGTCTTACGAGCAGCTGAGCGCCATATCCCGCGCGGCAGCCGTGACAGCTGTAAAAAAGATATGGACGCACGAAATGGAACAAGCCGATTCGCCGCAGAAGCAGCACACGAAGCACACACATTGCCTCACCTGGAGACAGCCTACTTTGAGCCGAATTTACTTGAAAAAGGGGGAACAAAATCAAGCCTTACGCCGTTGCTCCGCTGTGCTTCTGGAAGCCCGCGCGAAAGGACTTGGAGCCTCACCCAGCCCGAGGTGGCGATATCTTCACGGCGTGGCGGCGCCGCACCCTCATCCTCTGGAATCGGTTGTGCTCCGCACTGAACTTGGCCGCGTATGCGCCCTGCCTCGGCAACAGGCAAATCTGCTCGTCCGTCATTTTTTGCGGTTTCACGTGCCACGTTACCTTGTACTGCTGCTGCTGCTCGCCGCACTCCTTTGCCTCCTGGTGACTGGGAAATGGATCGGCCTCTCACGCCGTATGAACTTGACGTGACCATCCGTGACTCCTCGCTCGGCTCGGCCCCTGGCCCCGACGACATGTTGAATGAATTCCTGCACCGTCTCGGGCCCGTTGCGCGTGGCACACTTAGAACGATGATCCACAACCCCTTCGCAAATGGCAGCCTGCCCGGCTCCTGGAAAATGGGAGACACTATTCCTATTCCCAAACCTGGGAAGGGTCCATGCCGCCCAGAGAGTTACAGACCTATCACGCTCTCTGCTTTACCACAATTAACAGAAGGAATGATTCACCGCCGTCTGTCAGCGTTATTGCCGCACCACCCACGTCAATTTCGGATTTGCACCTCCGCGCTCTACGTCGGACGTGGTGGCACTTGTTATTGATAAAACTACTCATGGATTAAATGAGTTTGGCATTGTGGAGTATGAGCGCCCTGGAGGCGGTGCCCCCACACGACACCCTCGTCGCCATCGCTCGCTCGTAGTCTTGATTGATTTTTCGACTGCGTTCGACACCGTTGACCATGGGAAGTTATTCGGCATGCTTGACAGACTCCTGCGCCTTAGCCCTCAAACCAAACGATGGCTGCACAACTACCTGCGGGGCCGCTATGTTAGGGTATGCACTCGCGAACAGCACTTCCGGAAGCAACTCACCTCAGCTGGACTACTGCAAGGCAGCGTCCCGGGACACCAACTCTTCCTCCACAGTGTGGATGATCTGCTGCGCCGCATGGACAACATCTATTCTGCCGCCGCATTCATGCACGCTGACGACCTTACACTTGTTGCCTCAGGTGCGGACATCCATGCCTGTGCTGCGGCAATGCGACCGGTCTTTTCCCTTGTGGCCACATGGGCTGCTGAGCACAGCCTAAAAATCAACGTCGTTAAGAGCGAAGTTGCTCTATTCTACATCTCTTCACACACACACTGTCTGACGATGACATGGTCGATCTCCATCTTGATAGCGGGAGCCTACGTATTCAGTCACGCCCAGTGCGCTTACTGGGCACCACGATTGATCGACTACTTAATTTTGTTACGCATGCTTCCACCGCTTCAAAGAAGACAATGCCACGCTGCTATCAGCTTCGACTGGTTGCAGAGGTGGGCGCATCCCATCTCACCATGCGATCCCTTTTGATTGGATACGTTCATATTGTGCTATTTCATAATGGCGAGGCAATTGTCCCGTGACTCGTCCCCACTTACCTCCATAATATGGAAGTACGGTACCGCTACAGTTGTAAAACATTCTTGGCCTGAGCGCATCTACAGAAGACACATCTGTCTATTTGGAAGCTAATCTTCCCCGGCTCCGGAAGATACTCTGGCTCTGTGCACTCACACAACAAGATCACTGTATACGCCTCCATGATTATGAGGATTTGCGTTACCTTATCTACTCGGAACCTATGCCTCCGTCCATGCATGGGAAAGTAGCGACATCGATCCCGCTTCCGAGAGATGCTGTTATTAATGGATTGCTACGCGTCTGTGAGATTATTGGGACACCCCGCAAACACATTCGTGCGCCTCTTGCCCAACATCGAATTTTTCCCTGGGACACTGTGATCTGCAACAAAGTGAGATTTTATCAGCCACTGTTTGCCAACGACGCCTCTGACGATGTCAGGCGCACGGCTTTTGACTCTATTTACTCCTCTTTGGGGGATTGTGATTTTGAATTGTGGACGGACGGTTCTTCATATCTCGCTGCACTCGCATCTGGATCCGCTGCGCTATTATACGACTGCACCACGACAAGTAATCTCCCTGTGGAGGTCCATCGTGCAGCAGCTGGCGGCCTCGCATGCTCATATAGGGCAGACTGTCTTGCGATCGAAAATGCTTTTAGACTTTTCATACCTCCTTGTCTGGGAACATCTCAATCGCCCACACGAATGCTGGAGGAAACGGACTCCCTGTCGGCAATTGAGGAACCCCGCGTTGCCCACCGACCGTGTGAGACCGCGTTACTGGGTAAATTTGGGTTATGCTGCTTTCCTTGGTGAAGCGAGGTCACCCTGTGGATTTTATATTTTCCCATCACACTGCGGTATTCCACGCAATGAGGCCGCTGACGACGAAGTCACGATTGCACGATCCCTCCCGCAGGACTGCGTCAATGTCTGGCACGCGGACTTCCTCACTGCAGTGAGGCGACGGAACTGGAAGGATGTCCAGGAGGAAAAGGAAGGCGCGCACATCGCATGACAGGCGCCTGTCGGTGTGGCGAGGACTCTATTCCTGGTGTTGTCCCGGACATCGTTCCCCGAGTGGCGGCATCCGCATGTGAGGCCCTCTCCAACTATCGGAACGCCAGGCCGAGCACGTCAAGCATGTGCCCTCACATTGTGGACGGAAGAGCGCACTCGGCTGCAGGTTGGGCAGGAGGACGTCAATCCGCCGCTCGCTTGCCGGCAATGAGTTGCGGTGCTCACGTCGGGAAGAAGCTCCGGCAGAGGCGGGCCATTCTCCTCAGTGTGAGAGAGAGGCACCACCAACACGGAGTGCTACTAGTGATCTGCATGGCGTGCTCGGCCTGGCGTTCCGATAGTTGGAGAGGGCCTCACATGCGGATGCCAAAATGGCGCCACCGTCTTCTTAGCAGGCGCCTTGCGCGCAGGTCGCCACCGAAGTTGCCAAGCATGCCAGCAGGCAACACACGCAGGAAGCACAAACGCGGGTGCCAGAGATGGACCAGGCGCTTCCGCCACCGCCTCATCACGGACGCCACGGGCTGCTGATCCCCGACGGACCACGGGAGACTCTGCCTCATCCACTGCGGGAATGCCCTCGTCGTTGGGAATATGGACTGCGACTGTTTGGAACAACCCTAGACTGCACGACGGCTCGTTTGCGAAGGAATACTTGCCACTTTTGTACGGACGGCTCCTGCAATACTCACTCGTTATTATAACAGTATCCAACAAAAACAGGATAACAATTTGCTTCCTGATGGATATTGGCTGCACTTCCTGTGGACCAACAATTCACGTGGTGTGCGGGGATCTCCCTTTTTTACTGTTACTTTGCTTTTGTGTTGCTGTGGTCGCTGCGCCTCCTCTTGTGTGTGTGTGTACCCTCCGTGAGGGGTGCAGACACGACGGACCGCTCTCGCCGTATGTGCATGCGGTGGAGCCTTGTGTGCCGCTCCTGTTTGCTTCTCCCTCTTCCATCTGTGTGTTGGTGTTGCGGCAGGGCTGTGTGTGTGTGTGCCTGCTGCCGTGGATTGGAGTGTGTGTCGTGCGTGGTGTGCGGCGTACGGTGCATGCCTGGCTGCTGCCCTCTCCTCATGTGGTTTGCCCTCTGTGTGTGTCTGCTGCACCTCTCGTCTCCCCTGTTGCTCTCCATGTCCCTCACTGTGCAGATCAGCTCCACACCACTGAACGACCACACTCACGATGATGACGATGTGCCGTCTGCTGTGCGCCCTGTTGGTGCTCGCCCTGTGCTGCTGCCCGTCCGTGTGCGCGGAAGAGACTCAGAAGACTCAAGGTGAGGCTGATGGAAGCGGCGTCAGGACGCCGCCCCCTCCACCAGAGCCATCAACCACAACGACGACCGGTAATCCAAAGCTCCCTGTATCAGAGTCAGCACGTGAGGATACCGGTCACTCAGGGTCCTCAAGCTCAGGGCCCGTTAAGGGACAGGAAACACCTGCCGAAGGGGAAAAAAGTTCGAAGAGTACGGTGATGCAATCAGATGAAAAGACCAATACGGCACAGACAGACGGTACGGCAGGGACAAAAAGTGACACGAGTACAACTGCAGGGAAAGCAGGTCGGAACGCCGAATCTTCTGCCAACACAACCACGACCACTACAACACAGGCACCAAGTACTACGACTACAGAGGCGCCAACCACGACGACCACCCGCGCACCGTCACATCTTCGCGAAATCGACGGCAGCCTCAGCAGCTCTGCGTGGGTGTGTGCCCCGCTGCTGCTCGCCGTATCCGCGCTGGCGTACACCGCTGTGGGCTAAAGAGGTGTGTGTGGGCTGTGCGTGCCAGCACTCAGCCGCGTGGATCTGTGCGCGTCTACCGCGGTCCGATGTAAATAAATAAGAGAAAATAATGATTGTGTGTTTTGCTTCATTTGCTTCTGCTGCCGTGCTGCGTGCTCCGCGTTGTGGCTCCCTGTATCCGCCACGTTGAACGCGCCTCAGACACACCCAATATGCATGAAAAGCACAGGATTGTTTAAATGGGCAAATATTTGTGGATGAGCGCATTTGCTCCGGAGCCATTTAATGCAGCTCTTGTTTTTTTTCTAGCTTTATTGCTCTTGTTTTCTTTTGCTTTGTTTTTACTTGTTTAGTGTTTTATTACTGTTTAATTGTTGTGGGGCATTGTACGTTTTTGTCTCTTTTACTGATTCCAACTGTCTCATGGTGTGTGCGCTGTCGCTGCTGCGCTGTTGCCATTTGTCACTATGTGGTGACGGTGTGTGGTGTAGCGGACGTGTCTCTCTTTTTGCTTTTACTCTGCGTTGACGTGTTGTTAGTTTGTGCTGAAGGCTACACGCAAGTGACAGGAGTGATGACGATGATGATGACTGGCCGTGTGCTGCTGGTGTGTGCCCTCTGCGCGCTGTGGTGCGGTGCCGGCAGTAGGTGTGATGAAGAGGAGGATACGGCACTTGTTGTCGGTCCACCTGGTAGTCGTTCGAATGACGGTAAAGGCGGGCCGGGATCAGCACCACCGTCACTGCCAGGAACAGGCACATCAGTTCCACGATCAATATTACCAGAAAGTGAAGTACCACAAGAAAGAATTGCGGGAACATCTTCGGAAGAAAGAGGAGAAAAAAATTATAAAAACGAAGATGGAGAAGAGGAAGACGTTGATGAAGATGGTGAAAATTCAAGACATCACGAGAGACTTTCAGAGCAGCCAACACAAAAAGAAGAATCTCAAGAAGAAACTCCAGAAGAAAAGGAACTGAAAAAAGGACTAGAGGAAGAAAAAGATGTGCATCAACCGGGAGAGGAAGGAATAAAAGGGGCACAACAGTCACAATCGCAACAACCACCGCCACAACAATTGCAGGTAAAAATAACAGCACCGGCAGGAAGAGGAGGCCCAACTGCACCAACAGGGCCAGCACGACCACCAGCACCCGCAGAACCATCATCAATGGATGGAAGTCAAACAATAGAACCAACAGATTCACGGAATCCATCACAAGAATCGCATGATAAGTCACTGTTACAAACCAAAAAGGAGTCCAGTGCACCCGATCCATCTTTAAAAGACGCTTTCCCAGAGCAACATGGTCAAGAAACAACCACACCGGATTCGGTGATGAATGCATCTGCAGGAAGTCAAGCGAGAATTACAGCACCATCCACTTCTACAAGTGGCAGTGGAGAAGCCCAGAGTAAGGCGGATGGGAATGACGCTCAACGGCCCAACCCCAACAAATCACACGACGACTCCGATGCTGGCAAAACCAAAGTTTCCACAACACTCAGTGAGGCAGCACCGCAAACAACAGAAACGGTCGCTGCCACCCAAACAAATCATACGAAGACTATAGGCGACAATGACGGCAGCACCGCGGTCTCCCACACCACCTTCCCTCTTTTGCTTCTTCTTCTTCCTGTTGCGTGTGCGGCTGCGGCTGCGGTGGTGGCCGCGTGAGAGTGAGTGAGAGAGAGCCATGCACCGCCCGCACACACACTCGTCTTTCACTCACTCTCTGTGTGTGTCCCCTTGCATGGACTCTCGCCCTCACCTCATCCCACGAAGCACACACATAATGTGCCCATTGTATATATGCATGCACACCCATGCATGCCCGTTGGTGCTCTCTTTTGCACCACACGCACCGCTGCCGTCCTGCCTGGCTGCATGGGCGGAGCACCGTAACTGTTTCTGTTTTGTTTTTATTGCATTGAGTGGGCGACCTCTCTCTCTCTCTCCCTGTGTGTGTGCTTTGCTTTACGGGAGCAATGAGAGTGTGTGTGCTGGTCGTCCCACGCTGCGTCTTCTTCTTTTATTGTTTTAGTTGTGTTGTGGTTGAGTGCACCCATTGCACTTTCTGATCGGCTGCATGCTTTGGATGCGGACACTGGATTTTTCTTTTTTATATATGTTTTCGTTTTTGTTGAGGAAGTGCTAGCTTCTTGTATTCTTGTAAAGCCATTAAGATTTTCTTTGGCGTATGGCATGCGTCCGTTGATCCACGTTAACCCCACGGTCTGCATCGCTTCTGGTGCTGCTATTGATGATTTCTGCGATGTGATTTGCCAGCAGATGCCTTGCTTTCATCCTGAAGTATTCCTTATTTCGTGACGATGTGGTGCGCTCCGAGGGCGAGGTTTATCTCGTTTACGGTGGGGAGAATGCATCTCAGGGCGCAGGATGCATTGCAGGTGTGCAGCGGCGTCTGGAAGGACCGACAGGTGCCCTTCCGCATCAAGACGTCAAAAACAGATCCGTGTGACATCAGGAGGCACTGCGGCTTCTCCTGGTCTCACGCAATGAATTCATTGAATGACAATCGCCACTGTGAGGATGGCGTTCTATCCTCTGCGCACGAGAACGCTCTTGCCGAGGAGGCTATCCCTGCTGCTGTAAACCCGCATGCGGATCGTCTGCTCGTCCGGCCACTGGAGGCTCCGCTGACTGTGTCCTCATTTGCCACGGGCAGCGTTTGCAGTTGGTTCACGGCGCCCGCTGGGCTTTGTTCCACTGGCGTTGCCAATTCTGAAATGGTGCTGTACGTGGCTGCAGCGGCGAGTGGTGTGTGGGCACTGCCGTGCGTCACGCTGGAGGATGGCCGTCCAGTCGCTGGCACCATGCACTTTGCTCGGCCGTTTTATTTCACGGATGCATCGCCGCGCACCTGTTGGCCCACGCTCTCGGGTTCACCTGCCCGCACATGGCAGGCCGCAGCATGGTGGGGAATGTTGCCGGTGTACGTGGCAGGGCGCTGTTGTTGGTGGTAGACTCGACAAATGCCGCGATGCCCGCGAGTGAGCACCACGACTGCGACGACATTGATGGCATGGAGCTGCAGGATGTCGATGGGAACGGGAGGACGCTGGAGTCGCGCTGGCGGCAGCGCCACGCGAGGGATGAGCGGATGACACCGATTGGGGTGCCGGCTGCTGCAGAGGAAGCGCTCTGCACTGAACATGAGTGAATATCGCCACATGCTCTGCGCATTCGGCGTTTCTGCCAGACGCTGCGCGTCGGATCATTATTCCAGCGGTTGGTGTGTAGACGGAGTATCCATGAAATTTCAGCAAAATGCCCGATGGACATTTTCCCAATCACTGACTCCGCACTGGATGTGAGGAATGCAGCCGCTGTTATTTGGAGGGGAGAATATTTGTCTGCGATGCCTGGGGATGAGCCCTCTTCGTGGTGTCTGGACACGCTTCCCACCAACACGACGGATGCGATGGACCCGGAGGAGACGTATCTCGGTGCCGCCATGCATGCGGCATTGAGGTGCCTCGGCATGCAGGTGCATCTGGAAGTGACTGAAAAGGGTAACGTCCGTTGTGTCTCATACACGGACTGAGCGACGGTTGCGTGGGTCACTCGACCCAACGATGAGGGAAACGCTATTTGCCGTGACCGCTCGGAGTTGTGCACGATATCCGTCACTAGCGGCAGCCTACTTCCAGTGGTTCCACGGGTGGCGAGGAGAGAGGGCGTGTGGAGCAGGACGGTCTCACCGGCATCTACTGAAGAAGGATTGCCAGGGGCGTCCGTCCCCGTTGCGGAGAGCATTGGGACCAGCCGCGGCACCCACCGAAGGATGTAGACACGGCTGTTCCTCAGAAGGATTCGTTGACAGAGGAGAAGTGGATCCGGCCAGGATGCCCCGACAGACCGCAAGAAGCTTCTCTCGGCGGCAGGGACCGAAGCAGCGAGACGGACGGCGAGCAGGCCCCGCCTCCGACTCCCGGTGATGACACTGCTGCTGCTGCTTGTCCCTGTCCGCTGCTTCTTCTGCTTGCGTCTGCTGCCGCGGTGCCAACACACTATCAATTTGCGGTGTGGTCGGCGTTGCGCTGCGAGGCGACTGTGCTTCCTTCTGTGTGGCCTGCACCCAGCATTGGAAGCCCAATAGGAAAACATCCATTTCAATGGGTCTCCTTCTCCATATGCATGTGCTGTGTCCGCTCCGTTTTACTTTGTGTTTGAGATTGGCGGTATTTCCGGTGCTCACAGCTCTTCTTGCGTTGGTTGCCAATGTGGGGGACACCAGATGGTCGTATGGCATTGCTTGTGTGTTTGTTAGATTTTCTGTGATGCACATACACACACAACGGTGCGAGTGGAATGTGCGCACACAAGACACACACACGCATATCCAAGCACATTGTCTGTGTGACTTGCACTTGACATAGTATGCGGGGCGGGTTGGTGCGAGCAAGGCCGACGGAAGCGGGGCAGCCGCGTGAGTCTAGCAATGGCGTTTGTGGTTGTGTGCGGGATCATATATTCCACCAGATGCTTGACGTCGTTTATGGATAGTTTAAAGTTTTTTTCTGCGATGCACATGCTGCGTCTGTGATAAACTGCTCACTGCGTCTCCATGATCTCATGGAGCACGGCGTGACGCTGCTCGAGGACCCCATGACGCCGCGGCAGCCGATTATGAGTAGCCCTGCGCTCTACTTTTTTTCCGTGGAGGACGCGTCTGTGAGCCGCGTGACTGAGGATTGGATGGCAAAGGTTCCGTACATGGATGCACACATCTTTGCATTGGGGTGCACCCCGCATCGCAGTCCTCAGCAACTCGTGTAGGCTCGGATAGCGCCGAGGGTGATGCGTTTGAAGGACATTATGTTAGACTTTGCCGCCCCTGAGGTGCTGGTGTTCCACCCCAGCATGCAGAATGGGTTCCCTCAGCTGCTGTTGCCTCCGAATTAAGAGTCCGTTTTGGATGTTGCGGAGTCACTTATTGTGGCGGCTTTTTACGCCATGAACAACGGTGTGCCTTTTATTCGCCACCAAAACAGTGGCAGCATCTGCCATGGGTTTGCCGGGACCTTTTTTGAGGCCTCTCCAGGCACTGCCACGACGAGCCGGATTTCAGTTAGGGGCGCCGACAGCTGCGGCAACCCGGTGCGGATCATCGTTGATTGGGGCTGTGTCATGGTGAAGTCGCTGATGCACCAACGCACATGTCAGTGTCTGCTTGATGACCTGATGCCGCTGGAGAATGACTTGTATTGGCATACCTGTAGGAATCGTCTGGGTGTGGACTCGAAGCGGCAGTAATTGGTGGGGAAGATGTGTACTGGTGCTCGTACCGTCATTGTTTTCTTGCACAGTGCGTGGAGGAGCTTTTGGTGGCGCTGAAAAAACTCCACGCGTATCACCCGGGATTGGCGCAGGGCGTGGAGCCGAAGGCCAAGCTTGCGCAGTTGAGCAGTGCGGTGCGGGCTCCTCCGGAGGTTTGGGAGAGGCAAGCCAGACTGTCGCTGCACATCGATTTTTCGCGCGAGGCTTGTGGCACAGTACCGGGAGAAGCGACTGGCGGAGGTGCGGGAGATGGAACAAGACATCGCCGTTGGGCTCCAACCCCTCAGGAAAAACCTGGATGGCGTGCGGCGCCTGACGAGGGATACCGCAACGCCCCGGCCAGTGCGTCTGCGTCTTCTCCTGTTGCTTGTGACTGCGAGCAGCACCGACGAGTTGAAAGAGGCCAAGAAGCAGCAGCTGATCCGAGACGGTAGACTGACGTTCGACGCTCATTTGTTTGCGAACCTTGGGCATGTGACGAGGAGGGCCGGGAGCGTGCAACGATGCAGCACGGCGTCGGCGCAGAGCGGACGGAGCACGAGCGCCTCTGCGAGCAGCGCCGCAACGGACGGGGATCCGTTTCTGAAGCATGCCTGCTTACTGGGACGGCGGGCAGGAATAGGACGCTGCGGGTTGGGCTGTCGTTGGCATCGGTGCAGCGCGATCATGCGATGAGGACAAATGGCGCGAGTGGTGGTCAAAGCAGTGGAGCATGAGGGAACAACGCCGAGCCATTTCAAGGGTGTGGTGGCAAATGGGAGAATCATCCTGGTCTGGGTGGAGGTGGTGGTGGTGGGAAGATCGCCCTCACAACTCCTCAGCGCATTGTGCTGCTTGTTTTGGGTGGTGTGGCCTGCAACGAGAGGCGCTCGGTCCATGAGATATCCAAAAGGTATGGCCGTGAGGTGGTCATTGTGGAAACCTCGCTGTCGCGTCCTGAGGTGTGTTTGTGCAGGGACTTGGCACTCTACGGCGCTGTGACTCACGGGCGAGACACGCAAAGGAATGCATCGAGGGCCAAAGAGTGGGACAGATGCAACCAGACACGATTGCGGGTGTCTGTGGGGATTGTGTGCGCTTCTTCCTGCATTCAGTTTCTCTCCATGAAGCGTTTCATACGATGCGTGTGTGTGTTTTGACGACCGCGCTGCCTGCATTTTACCTTTGTTTCTTGCGTGTGCGGTTGCGGGCCATTTCCATGCAACTAAGAGGGCGGTTGAAAAAGGAAGGACATTGGTGGAGCATGCACCCACGGCTTCAGTTTTCATCCGCTGATGCTGACCTTTCTTGCCAGGACATTTGTGCACGCTTTTCCCTCCATTGTCTATTTTTTTGCACAGGAATCAACAGGTGGGCATTCGTGAGTGCTGCGGCGAGCTGTTGTTGCCCTCGCCGGGACGCGCGCAACGGCGTCAGCTCCTTGACTTTGGGCTAAAAGGAATGGGACTTTCTCCGGATCCTCACCGCAGGCGCATGCCGTGGACGGCCGAAAAGGAGTGTGTGCCCGGTGTTGTTCATAGCTCCAAGGAAAAGATGGTGTTGGATGGCGCACAACGAGTGGGTGTGGAATGTGTCGACCGTGTGCATCGCAGGTGTATCCGCTGGAGGCATTGCGGGCGGCCGTCGCCAAATGCGAGTACAATACATTTAGAGGAAAGAACATTTTTAATTGTTCTCTCAGGTGGAATCCAATGTACTCAGGCAATGCTTTACCGCGAGGAGTGGCCGGAGGGGACGTACGACGAGGACGCCACTCGCACCGTCATTTATTTCCGTCGCCGCAAGACCACAACCCGGCCCGCACCAATACGCCCTGCGGATTTTCCGAGGTGGCACGCGCTGTTCTGTTTGTCGCCACTGTTCCCCCACCCCGAGCGTCGGTGCAGACGTCCCTGTCGATGCAAGTTCCTGTCGCTTGCGGACACACACCCATTGATTGATGCGGCCGGCACCGCAGCCCATTGCTGGTGCTTCTTGCATGACTGCTGCACCGCCCTCAGCATCTGGTGCAGTGGGACTGGGGACGAGAACACAGCAGAACAATTTCAGTCAGATGGTGCTGGCAGCCCTGTCAGCGTCTCGCCGACTCCAGCGGCGAGCACAGAAATTGACGGGACAGAAGAGGAATCAAATGACTGCCGGGGAAACAATTGTTTTTTGACATCACTCCCAGTCAAACAGCCGGAAGAATTCACAACAACATCAGTCACCAACAATGAAAAAGGAACAGCGACCACCGCCGACAGCGACAGCAGCACCGCGGTCTTCTACACCACCTCCCATCCTTTGCGTCTTATTGTCACGTATGCGTGCTGCTGCTGCAGTGGCGTCCAGGCCTGCATGAAGTGGTGTGCACTTAATATGAACGACGGCCGAGGGCAACTGAATTGTTTTTTTGATGAATATTGGCTGCACTTCCTGTGGACCAACAATCCACGTGGTGTGCGGGGATCTCCCTCTTTTTTATTGTTGTTTTGTGCTGCTGTGGGCGCTGCACCTCCTCTTGTGTGTGTGCGTACCCTCCGTGAGGGGTGCAGACAAGACGGACCGCTCTCGCCGTATGTGCATGCGGTGGAGCCTTGTGTGCCGCTCCTGTTTGCTTCTCCCTCTTCCATCTGTGTGTTGGTGTTGCGGCAGGGCTGTGTGTGTGCCTGCTGCCGTGTATTGGAGTGTGTGTCGTGCGTGGTGTGCGGCGTACGGTGCATGCCTGGCTGCTGCCCTCTCCTCATGTGGTGTGTCCTCTGTGTGTGTATGCCGCACCTCTCGTCTCCCCTGTTGCTCTCCATGTCCCTCACTGTGCAGATCAGCTCCACAACACTGAACGACCACACTCACGATGATGATGACGTGCCGTCTGCTGTGCGCCCTGTTGGTGCTTGCCCTGTGCTGCTGCCCGTCCGTGTGCGCGGAAGAGACTCCGAAGGATACCGAAGCCGAGAGAAGCGAGCAACATCAATTTCCCCCTGCGTTAGCAGGGCCACAGGGAGCCAGTCAGTCACTGTCGCCGAGTACGGTGTCCGCTGCGGATCGTGAGGACATTCAGCCAGGGGCACTAGAGTCAGGAGAACATGTGACCAGTCACTCGGGCTCGCCAATTATTTTGCCCAGTGCGGAAAAGGGAAAAGTTGGCGAAGAGGGACCAATATCGGAAGAGGCTGCCAGTGCGTTACAGAAACAAGGTCATAAAGGTACGACAGGGTCACAAAGTGGCCAAAGTATATCCGAGGAACAAGCAGATAAGAACTCCGAAGCTCTTTCCAAGACAACCACGACCACTACAACACAGGCAACAACTACGACGACCACGACCACCACTGCGCCAGAGCCACCAAGTACTACGACTACAGAGGCATCAAGTACTACAAATACAGAGGCGCCAGCTGTGTCGACCACCCGCGCACCGTCACGTCTTCGCGAAGTCGACGGCAGCCTCAGCAGCTTTGCGTGGGTGTGTGCCCCGCTGCTGCTCGCCGCATCCGCGCTGGCGTACACCGCTGTGGGCTAAAGAGGTGTGTGTGGGCTGTGCGTGCCAGCACTCAGCCACGGGGGCATTTGTACGTCTAATCTGATCCGATGTATAAAGTAAGAGTAATGATGATTGTTTTTTTTGCTTTGCTTGCTTCTGCTGCCATGCTGTGTGCTCCGCGTTGTGCCCCACATCCGTAACTTTGAACGCATCGCGGACACACTCGTATGCATGCGCACTGGAGCCCTGGTTGTTGTTTTTTCCTTTTAATTATTGGTTTTTATTGGTTTTTTTTTTTTTTTTGCCTTTTAAATTCTTTTGCAGGTCGGTGTGCGAGTTCTGCTATTCTACTGATTCCAACTGTCTCGTGGTGTGTGCGCAGCTGCTGGTGTGTTGGAATTTGTTACTGTGCGGTGGACGGTGCGTGGCTGTGTGACGTGTCTCTCCTTTTGCTTTCACTCTGCGTTGACGGGGCGTTAGTTTGTGCTGAAGGCTGCACGCAAGTGACAGGAGTAATGGCGATGATGATGACTGGCCGTGTGCTGCTGGTGTGTGCCCTCTGCGTGCTGTGGTGCGGTGCCGGTGGTAGATGTGAGGCGGGGGTGGGAGTTGGTGCGCAACAGGATGGTGGTAAGTCTCCGCCGGAATCAAAAGGACTTGAAACGTCTTCACAAGGCACGCAAGACTTAAAAGGTGGAGCAGCAGATGCCAAAGAAAATTCACCTCCCTTACCTACAGAGGAAGATCATGAGGATGTTGATGACGATAGTGAAGAAGGTGATGATGATGATGGAGGAACGGAAGATGAAGAAGAAGAAAAGGTACGAGGGCAGAGTGGTCAAGAGGGAACAGTTGCACTGGGCTCAGATTCCACCGAAAAGAAGTTAATTGGCAGTGGGAAGCAAACAGAACTGTCAATTTCATCCGCAGAGAGCATTTCTCCTTCCGGCAGTCGGGAATTAAATGTCAATCATACGCAAACGGAATTTGAAGGAAAAAAGGAAACCGACAAAAATACACCAGCGGTAGAGAGCGCACTCACAACTGGTAACGGGGAGAACACACTGCCTGCGGAAATTGTGGACGGAAATCCCTCACCACCTCCTCCACAGGTCGGTATTCATTCCCGCGAACAGGATGGCGAAGGCACCACGAGTGAAGGTCAAAAAAATGATCCGTTGCCTGAGACCGCAGCCACACCAAAAAGCCACCATGACAAAGGCTCAGAAGGGACTGGGGAAGATACAAAAGCAACGACAGTAACCGCCAACACAACTGATACGACGAACACACAAAACAGTGACGGCAGCACCGCGGTCTCCCACACCACCTCCCCTCTTTTGCTTCTTCTTGTTGTTGCGTGTGCGGCTGCGGCTGCGGTGGTGGCTGCGTGAGAGTGAGTGAGAGAGAGCCGTGCACCGCCCGCACACACACACTCGTCCTTCACTCTCACTCTCTGTGTGTGTCCCCTTGCATGGACTCTCGCCCTCACCTCATCCCACGAAGCACACACATAATGTGCCCATTGTATATATATTGCATGCACACCCATGCAGGCCCGTTGGTGCTCTCTTTTGCACCACACGCACCGCTGCCGTCCTGCCTGGCTGCATGGGCGGAGCACCATAACTGTTTCTGTTTTGTTTTTATTGCATTGAGTGGGCGACCTCTCACTCTCTCTCTCTCTCCCTGTGTGTGTGTTTTGCTTTACGGGAGCAATGAGAGTGTGTGCTGGTCGTCCCACGCTTCGGCTTTTTTCATTTTTTTACTTGTTTTGTGGTTGAGTGCACCCATTACACTTTCGTTTGAATTAGTGGCTTGCTTTGACTGCGGACGTTTAAAATTGTCTTTTTGTATTCTTATATTGTTTCTTTCTTGTTGGGAGAGTGTCACCCTTTTTCCCTGTGACGCTACAAAGTTTTTTTCTTTGATACACGCCATGTGTCATTTGATCCACGTCACTCTGTATTGCTTTTGGTTCTGCTATTGATGATTTCTGCGACGCGATTTGTCGGCGGGTGTCTTGCAGTCACCCTGACACATCCCTGCCTTTTTTCTTGACGATTTGTTGCGTACCGACGGTGCGTGGGCGTCTCTGGTGATGGTGAGGGACGCGTGTCTCAGAGCGCAGGATGCGTCGCGGGTGTGCAGCGTCGTTTGTAAGAACCGATGTGTGCCCATCCGCATCCAGGCGTCATCAACGGAATGTGAGGACAGCATAAGGCACTGCGGCTTCTTTTGGTGTTGCACGAAGAATTTATTGGACGGTGCTTTTGATTTCAATCTTTTGCAGGTTTTGTGGGGGAAGGTGGGAGGTTGATGGCATCAGGACTGAATTCATTTGAGTGGCTGCGTTCCATTGACTTGCGGCCAGTCGTGGCACTCTGGTTTGGCAGCTCGTGCCTTTTGTTTACTTCCCACTGCAGCACGTGGATAACACTGATCCGAAGAACATTTGTTTGAACGCGTGTGGGCTGCTGCCGTGCGTGGTGCATGGAATATGTGATTGTGTGGGGAGGTGCGTTGGGGTGACGAATACTTCTGTTTGGCGTGTCGCGGTGTGTCGGAATGATGTTCGGATGAAATGTGAAGGGTGTTGTTTGTGATTTGTGTGTCTTCTCTGGTGGAGCCGACATGTGTGCGGGGATTGTGGCATTGCTGGCTGATAATTCCACGTCGCTTTTCAGCATTCCTGGATGTGCTGAGGAGTGACGGCTGGCGACCAGCGTGTTGTTGCTGCTGGTGGAATAAGTGCATCGGGAATAGGCCGTTTTCTCTTTTCCATGCTGGAGCCGATGGACTGGCACGAGGGCACCGGCTGCAGGCTGCCTGCCAGCACGTGTGAGCGGCGGATCCATGCACACACCGACGCTCATCGCAAGAGCTTGTGCGATCACAGTGGCCTTTTGTGGCGTGCTTTTGTGGGCGTCAGCCCATCGAAGAATGTGTGAAGCAAACGGCTGCCTGCACACGAGGAAAATAAGTGCGTGCACTGTGCCGTGTTTCAGTCTCGATGGCAGAGCGGCAGGAGGCCCGTGCTGGCAACTGAGATCTTTGCGTCGCGAGGGATGTCGGTGTTGATTTTGGATCGTCGAGGGTGAAGCGATTTTGCTGCTGCCCGTGTGTGTGTGGCCACTCCGGCAGAGGGCGGACACAAAAGGGAGGGATGCAGGCGCTGCGTGTGTGTGTGTGTGCAGGTGCCATGCGACAACGCCACAGCAAACGTGCTGCGACTCGGTGACCCTCACATCGTTGTGGTCCTCACGAACAGCCCAGGCACGGCCCAAATCGATGCACTTAGTGGACGGAGTGAGGCATCTTTTGAGGCGCAGCAGGGAACAGGATGTGTTGACGCAGCCACGACGTGCATGGAGTGTCACGATGGCACAGTCAGCTGTGGCTGGTGGAATATTTACTTCTCGGAGGCAACAAAGAGAGAGAGAGAGCTGCTCCTGCTCCTGCTGCTGGCGTCGTTGCTGCCTTTTGTTGCCTCCCATGCCAATTAATGTCTGTCCGCTGATCATGGGTGGCATGCCTCCACTAGTGACGTCGTCTGCAGGCATTTCACAGCACCAGTGAAACACACTTCACGTCGCATGCTTTGGCTGTGGATATGGTGTCGTGAGTGCAGCCGGCATTATTTTGCCCGACTCCTTTTCACTGCTTTGCGACGAATAGATGCGTCTCCGCCCGAGTCATTCACTGCAGCTCCGTGTGCTGTGCTGCCAGCACAATACTCTCTTGTTGTCTGACGCCTGGCTGACAGTCAAACACCACTGCGTTGGGACATGCAAGGATGTGGACTGCCGCTCACGGTGTTGGGCACCGCTGTTTGGATGCGGCGGCCACACGAGCGGATGTATTGTGGCACAATCAAATGCGTGAAATACGCGGAATCACAGCGGCTGCAATAATATCAGCGGTGTGGCACCACGGAATATGTGAGGGGGTGATGCATGATGAATCACAGTGGGCGGCATGCGAGGGAAGTGCACCGCGACGGAGCGTCACCCCGCCCTCAGCCTGCAGGGGAATGTACGCCCACAAAATATATGGACGAGACACCACCAAACACACATGCCCTTCCATGCACCAATAAATAGGAGCGAAGGTGCATTCTGGTGTGTGGGAGTCCACTCACATATTTTCATTTCCACCGCAATAAACGGTGAGGAATCAGGTGCCACACCAACGAAAGGAAAAACAAACATCTATTGCAGCACTTTACCGGCGAAAGGAAGGAACAACAGAAACCGAATTATTGGCCGCACCAACACAATAAACATTCACAAGAGGAGAAAATAATTGTGCGCCCTGCAGGAATCCCCAACACACGACCCAGGCATGAAGGTTTGCCCTCCGCAAAGCAAAAAAAAAGAACATATGCAGACATCGGCCAACATTCAAACAGAAACACAAATAAATGGTTGCCTGCTTTATGCCATTCCTTGCGCTTATTTTTGCGTGTGCGGCTGCTGCGGTGATGGCCGTGCCTGCATGAAGTGGTGTGCGCTGAATATGAACGAGGGCCAAACACAACTGAATTATTTTGTGGTGCATATTGGCTGCACTTCCCGTGGACCAACAATCCACGTGGTGTGCGTGGATCTCCTCCTTTTTTATTGTTACTTTGCTTTTGTGTTGCTGTGGTCGCTGCACCTCCTCTTGTGTGTGTGCGTACCCTCCGTGAGGGGTGCCGACACGACGGACCGCTCTCGCCGTATGTGCATGCGGTGGAGCCTTGTGTGCCGCTCCTGTTTGCTTCTCCCTCTTCCATCCGTGTGTTGGTGTTGCGGCAGGGCTGTGTGTGTGTGCCTGCTGCCGTGGATTGGAATGTGTGTCGTGCGTGGTGTGCGGCGTACGGTGCATGCCTGGCTGCTGCCCTCTCCTCATGTGGTGTGCCCTCTGTGTGTGTCTGCCGCACCTCTCGTCTCCCCTGTTGCTCTCCATGTCCCTCACTGTGCAGATCAGCTCCACACCACTGAATGACCACACTCACGATGATGACGACGTGCCGTCTGCTGTGCGCCCTGTTGGTGCTTGCCCTGTGCTGCTGCTCGTCCGCATGTGCGGCAGGTTCTACGGGTGTCAATAAAGCTCCAGTTGACGATAATAAAAGCGCCGCCATTTCATTGCCCCCTGCACAAGACAATAACAATTCGGCTGACGCTGATGGAAAGGCCACCGGTCTATCGCCCCCTTCGTCAGGACCATCGAAGGGACTTCAAGGGAACGGTCAGCCAAATCCGCTAATTCCTGGGCCCGGTGACGAACAAGGAAATAATGTTGTTGATGGAGGGGATGTGACCGTTCCGAGAACGCAATCAGATCAGGCGCGTAATACGTTGCAAAAAGAGGATAGTAAGAGTACGAAAGGAACAAAAAGTGACACGAGTCTATCCGAGGAAAAAACTGGTAAGGAGGCTGAAGATTCTGGCGTGATTCCAGATACCTCCAAGGAAACCAAAAAGGTGACTCCAACTGTGACGGCTGAAGATGTTGTAAGCGCCCCAAGTCCACCATCCTCTACAACAAAGACTAAGCCGGCTGACGCCAAGAAGGCTGAAGATTCCGCTCATAGGACCACGACGACTACAACACGGGTGCCAACTACGACCACGACCACCACTGCGCCCGAGGCACCTAGTAATACAACGACCACAGAGGCGCCAACCACGACGACCACCCGCGTACCGTCACGTATTCGCAGGATCGACGGCAGCCTCAGCAGCTCTGCGTGGGTGTGTGCCCCGCTGCTGCTCGCCGCATCCGCGCTGGCGTACACCGCTGTGAACTAAAGAATTGTGTGCGTGCTGTGCGTGCCAGCACTCAGCCACGGGGATTTTTGTGCGCGTTTGTTGTGGTTCACTGTATAAAATAAGAGTAATTATGATGATTGTGTTTTGCTTCACTTGCTTCCGCTGCCCTGCTGTGTGCTCCGCGTTGTGGCTCCCTGTATCCGCCACGTTGAACGCGCCTCAGACACACCCAATATGCATGAAAAGCACAGGATTGTTTAAATGGGCACATATTTGTGGATGGGCGCATTTGCACCGGAGCCATTTAATGCAGCTCTTGTTTTTTTTCTAACTTTATTGCTCTTGTTTCCTTTTGCTTTGTTTTTACTTGTTTAGTGTTTTATTACTGTTTAATTGTTGTGGGGCATTTTAAGTTTTTGTCTCTTTTACTGATTCCAACTGTCTCATGGTGTGTGTGCGCTGCTGCGCTGTTGCCATTTGTCACTATGTGGTGACGGTGTGTGGTGTAGCGGCCCTGTTTCTCTCTCTTTGTTTTCACTCTACGTTGACGGGGAGTTAGTTTGTGCTGAAGGCTAAACGCAAGTGACAGGAGTGATGATAGCGATGATGATGGCTGGCCGTGTGCTGCTGCTGGTGTGTGCCCTCTGCGTGCTGTGGTGCGGTGCCGGCGGGATTGTGGCCGATGATGCTGTTCGTGCTGAATTGGAAAAAGAAAATAAATCCGATAGTTTAAGAGCGGATCCTCCAATTGATGAGGCAGATACACAGGAACCACAAGATTTAGGCCGTCAATTGTCCGACAAAGAGAATGGATTGATGGTTGCACAAGAAGGAATGATTGCAACTCAACAAGACGGTTTGGCCTTAAAATCTTCAACAAACCCTCTCGAATTGGAAGAAGATAAGGATGAGGATGAAGAAAAGGAAGATGGAAAAGGAAAAGGAAAAGCTGAAAAGGACAAAAGAAGTATGGAGCAAACAGAGACACAAAAAAGTTTAATGAAAGATGGAGAAACATCGAAATTAACATCGGCACCAGGAACACCGTCAACACTGATTCCACCGGAAAGAGGGGGACAAAAAACCCCCTCAGAAACTCCACCAGGTCCACCAACAAATGGAAAACCAGCAGAAGAAACAGGCCCACCAGCATCAACAGGCTCGCAGAATGCAACAGAGACAACAAGCACGACGTCACTGCCAAACGCTGAAACGGCGCCTGAAGTACAGGAAAAACCTTTAGGAAATGGTGAGCCAAGCCAAAACAGACAAGACACGGACCAACCAGATTCCATGAATAATGCAACTACAAGTCGTCCAGCGGAAACACCAGCACCATTGGTATCTACAAGTGGCAGTGATGGAACCCAGAAAAAGGAGGAAAAGGTTGATAACGGTGATCAACGGCCTAACAGAAAAGAAACACAAGACGGGCTTGAAGATAGAAATACCAGCGATGCTCCCACATCCACTGAGGCAGCACCACCAACAGCAGAAACAGTCAACAACTATCAAACAAATGATACTGCAACAAAAGGCAACAGTGACGGCAGCACCGCGGTCTCCCACACCACCTCCCCTCTTTTGCTTCTTCTTGTTGTTGCGTGTGCGGCTGCGGCTGCGGCTGCGGTGATGGCCGCGTGAGAGTGAGTGAGAGAGAGCCATGCACCGCCCGCACACACACTCGTCTTTCTCTCTCTCTCTGTGTGTGTCCCCTTGCATGGGCTCTCGCCCTCACCTCACCCCACGAAGCACACACATAATGTGCCCATTGTATATATGCATGCACACCCATGCAGGCCCGTTGGTGCTCTCTTTTGCACCACACGCACCGCTGCCGTCCTGCCTGGCTGCATGGGCGGAGCACCGTAACTGTTTTTGTTTTCATTGCATTGAGTGGGCGACCTCTCTCTCTCTCTCTCCTTGTGCGTGTGTGTTTTGCTTTACGGGAGCAATGAGAGTGTGTGCGCTGGTCGTCCCACGCTTCGGCTTTTTCATTGTTTTACTTGTGTTGTGGTTGAGTGCACCCATTCTGCTTTTTTTGATCGGCTGCATGTCTTGACTGCGATCACTTTAATCCTCCCTTGTTATTCCCATATTGTTTTTCTTGTTGCTGAGGAAGGTTTCAGCCTCTCGTAATCTTGCCAAGCCACTCAGTGTTTCTTTCCGCGTGTGCCATGCGCCATTTTATCCACGTTGCCCGCGGCCAGCAGCGCTGCTTCTTCTGCTTGTGATGATGTTTGTGGTGTGATTTGCCAGTTGGTGCTTTTGTTTCACCTTGATGTATCCTTTTTCTTTTGACGCTGCGATACGTCCGACGGCGCGTGGTTGATTCTCCTGATGGTGAGGAAAATGCCTCTCAGGGCGCTGGACGCGTTGCAGGTGGACAGCGGCTTTGGGAAGGACCGACGAGTGGCAGTCCGCATCAATGTGCCCACAAGGGACTTGGACGACAGCAGGGGGGCACTGCGGCTTCTTTTGGCGTTGCACAGTAAATTCTTTGGACGGTGCGTTTGACTGTAAGGATAGTGTTCTATTCTTTGCGCACGGTAATATCCTTGCCGAGGAGGCTATCCCTGCTGCTGTAAACCCGCATGCGGATCGTCTGCTCGTCCGGCCACTGGAGGGTCCGCTGATTGTGTCCTCATTTGCCACGGGCAGCGTTTGCAGTCGGTTCACGGTGCCTGCTGGGCATTGTTCCACTGGTGTTGTCAATTCTGTCACAGTGCTGTACGTGGCTGCGGCGCTTGGCGGTGTGTGGGCACTGCCGCGCGCCACGCTGGAGGATGGCCGCCCAGTCGCTGGCGCCATGTACTTTGCCTGGCGTTTTATTTCACGGACGCCTCGCCGCGCACCTGTTGGCCCACGCTCTCGGGTTCGACTACCCGCACATGGCCAACCTCAGCATGGTGAGGAATGTTGCCGGTGTACGTGGCAGGGCGCTGTTGGTGGTGGTAGACTCGACAAATGCCGCGATGCCCGCGAGTGAGCACCACGACTGCGACGACATTGATGGCATGGGGCTGCAGGATGGCGATGGGGACGGGAGGACGCTGGAGTCGCACTGGCGGCAGCGCCACGCGAGGGATGAGTGGATGGCATCGATTGTGGGCGCCGGCTGCTGCAGAGGAAGTGCTCCGCACTGAACATGAGTGAATATTCCCAAATGCTCTGCGCATTGGGCGTTTCTGCCAGACGCTGCGCGTCGGATCGTTATTCCAGCGGTTGGTGTGTAGACGGAGTATCCATGAAATTTCAGCAAAACGCCCGATGGACAGTTGCCCCATCACTGACTCCGCACTGGATGTGAGGGATATTAAGGGTGTTATTTGGAGGGGAAAATGTTTTTCTGCGGTGCCTGGGGATGAGTCCTCTTCGTGGTTCCTGGACACGCTTCCCACGAGCACGACGGATGCGAGGGACCCAGAGGAGACATATCTCGGTGCTGCCATGCATGCGGCATTGAGGTGCCTCGGCATGCAGGTGCATCTGGAAGTGACTGAAAAGGGTAACGTCCGTTGATTCCATGCACGGACTGAGCGACGGTTGCGTGGGCCACTCGACCCAACGATGAGGGGAAACGTCATTTGCCGTGACCACTCGGAGTTGTGCACGATATCCGTCACTAGCAGCAGCCTACTTCCAGTGGTTCCGTGGGGTGGCGATGAGAGGGCGTGGAGCAGGACGGTCTCACCGGCATCTACTGAAGAAGGATTGCCAGGGGCGTCCGTCCCCGTTGCGGAGAGCATTGAGACCGACCGCGGCACACCACCGAAGGATGTGGACTTAGCTGCTCCCCAGAAGGATTCGTTGACAGAGGAGAAGTGGATCCGGCCGGGATGCCCCGACAGACCGCAAGAAGCTTCTCTCGGCGGCAGGGACCGAAGCAGCGAGACGGACGGCGAGCAGGCCCCGCCTCCGACTCCCGGTGATGACACTGCTGCTGCTGCTTGTCCCTGTCCGCTGCTTCTGCTTGCCTCTGCTGCTGCCGCGGTGCCAACACACTATCAATTTGCGGTGTGGTCGGCGTTGCGCTGCGAGGCGACTGCGCTTCCTCCTGCGTGGCCTGCACCCAGCATTGGAAGCCCAATAGGAAAACATCCATTTCAATGGGTCTCCTTCTCCATATGCATGTGCTGTGTCCGCTCCGTTTGACTTTGTGTTTGAGATTGGCGGTATTTCCGAAGCACACAGCTCTTCTTGCGTTGTTTGCCAATGTGGGGGGCACCAGATGGTCGTATGGCATTGCTTGTGTGTTTGTTAGATTTTCTGTGATGCACATACACACACAACGGTGCGAGTGGAATGTGCGCACACAAGACACACACATGCATATCCAAGCACATTTTCTGTGTGACTTGTACTTGACATAGTATGCGGGGCGGGTTGGTGCGAGCAAGGCCGACGGAAGCGGGGCAGCCGCGTGAGTCTAGCAATGGCGTTCGTGGTTGTGTGCGGGATCATATATTCCATCGGATGCTTGACGCCGTTCATGGATAGTTTAAAGTTTTTTTCTGCGATGCACATGCTGCGGCTGTGCTAAACTGCTCACTGCGTGTCCATGAACTCATGGAGCACGGCGTGACGCTGCTCGAGGACCCCATGACGCCGCGGCAGCCGATTATGAGTAGCCCTGCACTCTACTTTTTTTCCGTGGAGGATGCGTCTGTGAGCCGCGTGGCTGAGGATTGGATGACAAAGGTCCCGTACAGGGATGCACACATCTTTGCGTTGGGGTGCACCCCGCATCGCAGTCCTCAGCAACTCGTGTAGGCTCGGATAGCGCCGAGAGCGATGTGTTTGAAGGACATTATGTTAGACTTTGCCGCCCCTGAGGTGCTGGTGTTCCACCTCAGCATGCAGAATGGGTTCCCTCAGCTGCTGTTGCCTCCGAATTAAGAGTCCGTTTTGAACGTTGCGGAGTCACTTATTGTGGCGGCTTTTTACGCCATGAACAACGGTGTGCCTTTTATTCGCCACCAAAACAGTGGCAGCATCTGCCATGGGTTTGCCGGGACCTTTTTTGAGGCCTCTCCAGGCACTGCCACGACGAGCCGGATTTCAGTTAGGGGCGCCGACAGCTGCGGCAACCCGGTGCGGATCATCGTTGATTGGGGCTGTGTCATGGTGAAGTCGCTGATGCACCAACGCACATGTCAGTGTCTGCTTGATGACCTGATGCCGCTGGGGAAGAAAGTGTATGAGCATACCTGTAGGAATCGTCTGGGTGTGGACTCGAAGCGGCAGTAATTGGTGAGGAGGACGTGTGCTGGTGCTGGTACCGTCATTGTTTTCTTGCACAGTGCGTGGAGGAGCTTTTGGTGGCGCTGAAAAAACTCCACGCGTATCACCCGGGATTGGCGCAGGGCGTGGAGCCGAAGGCCAAGCTTGCGGAGTTGAGCAGTGCGGTGCGGGCTCCGCCGGAGTTTCGGGAGAGGCAAGCCAGACCGTCGCTGCACATCGATTTTTCGCGCGAGGCTTGTGGCACAGTACTGGGAGAAGCGACTGGCGGAGGTGCGGGATGTGGAAAAAGAAATCGCCGTTGGGCACAAACCCCTCAGGAAAAATCTGGATGGCGTGCGGCACCTGACGAGGGATGCCGCGATGCCCCGGCCTGTGTGACTGTGTCTTCTCCTGTTGCTTGTGACTGCGAGCAGCACCGACGAGTTGAAAGAGGCCAAGAAGCAGCAGCTGATCCGAGACGGTAGACTGACGTTCGACGCTCATTTGTTTGCGAACCTTGAGCATGTGACGAGGAGGGCCGGGAGCGTGCAACGATGCAGCACGGCGTCGGCGAAGAGCGGACGGAGCACGAGTGCCTCTGCGAGCAGCGCCGCAACGGACGGGGATCCGTTTCTGAAGCATGCCTGCTTACTGGGACGGCGGGCAGGAATAGGACGCTGCGGGTTGGGCTGTCGTTGGCATCGGTGCAGCGCGATCATGCGATGAGGACAAATGGCGCGAGTTGTGGTCAAAGCAGTGGAGCATGAGGGAACAACGCCGAGCCATTTCAAGGGTGTGATGGCAAATGGGAGAATCATCCTGATCTGGGTGGCGGTGGTGGTGGGACGATTGCCCTCACAACTCCTCAGCCCATTGTGCTGCTTGTTTTGGGTGGTGTGGCCTGCAACGAGAGGCGCTTGGTCCATGAGATATCCAAAAGGTATGGCCGTGAGGTGGTCATTGTGGAAACCTCGCTGTCGCGTCCTGAGGTGTGTTTGTCCAGGGAATTGGCACTTTACGGCAGTAGGACTTACGGCGAGACACGCAAAGGAATGCATCGAGGGCCAAAGAGTGGGACAGATGCAACCACACACGATTGCGGGTGTCTGTGGGGATTGTGTGCGCTTCTTCCTGCATTCCGTTTCTCTCCATGAAGCGTTTCATACGATGCGTGTGTGTGTTTTAACGGCTGCGCTGCTTGCATTTTACCTTTGTTTCTTGCGTGTGCGGTTGCGGGCCATTTCCATGCAACTAAGAGGGCGGTTGAAAAAGGAAGGACATTTGTGGAGCATGCACCCACGGCTTCAGTGTTCATCCACTGGTGCTGGCCTTTTTTTGCCAGGGCATTTGTGCACGCTTTCCCCTCCATTGTCTATTTTTTTGCACAGGAATCAACAGGTGGGCATTCGTGAGTGCTGCGGCGAGCTGTTGTTGCCCTCGCCGGGACGCGCGCAACGGCGTCAGCTCCATGACTTTGGGCTAAAAGGAATGGGAATTTCTCCGGATCCTCACCGCAGGCGCATGCCGTGGACGGCCGAAAAGGAGTGTGTGCCCGGTGTTGTTCATAGCTCCAAGGAAAAGATGGTGTTGGATGGCGCACAACGAGTGGGTGTGGAATGTGTCGACCGTGCATCGCAGGTGTATCCGCTGGAGGCATTGCGGGCGGCCGCGGCCACATGCGAGTACAATACATTTAGAGGAAAGAACATTTTTAATTGTTCTCTCAGGTGGAATCCAATGTAATTGGGCAATGCTTTACCGCGAGGAGTGGCCGGAGGGGACGCACGACGAGAACGCCACTCGCACCGTCATTCATTTCCGTCGCCACGGTAGTAACCCAGCCCGCGCCAATACGCCCTGCGGATTTTCCGAGGTGGCACGCGCTGTTCTGTTTGTCGCCACTGTTCCCCCACCCCGAGCGTCGGTGCAGAAGTCCCTGTCGATGCAAGTTCCTGTCGCTTGCGGACACACACCCATTGATTGATGCGGCCGGCACCGCAGCCCATTGCTGGTGCTTCTGGCATGACTGCTGCACCGCCCCCAGCAGCTGGTGCAGTGGGACTGGGGACGAGAACACAGCAGAACAATTTCAGTCAGATGGTGCTGGCAGCCCTGTCAGCGTCCCGCCGACTCCAGCGGCGAGCAGAGAAATCGACGGGGCAGGAGAGGAATCAAATGACTGCCGGGGAAACAATTGTTTTTTGACATCACTCCCAGTCAAACAGCCGGAAGAATTCACAACAACATCAGTCACCAACAATGACAAAGGAACAGCGACCACCGCCGATAGCGACAGCAGCACCGCGGCCTCCCACACCACCTCCCATCCTTTGCGTCTTATTGTCACGTATGCGGCTGCTGCTGCTGCGGTGGTTACGTTTGTATGAAGTGGTGTGCGCTGAATATGAACGAAGGCCAAAGGTAACTGAATTATTTTGTGGTGCATATTGGCTGCACTTCCCGTGGACCAACAATCCACGTGGTGTGCGGAGATCTCTCATTTTTTAATTGTTACTTTGTTTTTGTGTAGCTGTGTGTGCTGCACCTCCTCTTGTGTGTGTGCGTACCCCCCGTGAGGGGTGCCGACACGACGGACCGCTCTCGCCGTGTGTGCATGCGGTGGAGCCTTGTGTGCCGCTCCTGTTTGCTTCTCCCTCTTCCATCTGTGTGTTGGTGTTGCGGCAGGGCTGTGTGTGTGTGTGTGCCTGCTGCCGTGGATTGGAGTGTGTGTCGTGCGTGGTGTGCGGCGTACGGTGCATGCCTGGCTGCTGCCCTCTCCTCATGTGGCTTGCCCTCTGTGTGTGTGTCTGCCGCAACTCTCGTCTCCCCTGTTGCTCTCCATGTCCCTCACTGTGCAGATCAGCTCCACACCACTGAACGACCACACCCACGATGATGACGACGTGCCGTCTGCTGTGCGCCCTGTTGGTGCTTGCCATGTGCTGCTGCCCGTACGTGTACGCTGCACAGGATGCGCCGGCTCAAGTTTCTTCCCAGACGACGACGGCAACTACAACAGAGCCACAAGACAGTAACAAGCATACTAAGCCTGAAGACCTTTCGACGAAAAGTGTGATTACAGCAAAAACACCAGTCGTTGACCATAAGCCTGAGGATGACACACATGTAACCGTCACCACTCTCCCTTCCTCTCCATCAGAGGGAGAAGAGAGGAAAGGTAAGGCGAGGCCGTCAGGTTCGGTGCCCGCTTCGGAACAGGAAGATACTGCCAGAGATGAACAAACTTTGAACGGTCCGGATTCGCATTCAAGTGTCGCGACCAGTACTTTGCAGAGCGAGGGTACGGATGGTACATCAGGGTCACAAAGCCGCACGAGTACGGCTGCAGAACAAGCAACTGAGGAAGCCAAAGATTCTGCCCAGACGACCACTACGACCACCACCACCACAAAAGTGCCAATTACGTCCACTACTGCGCCAGAGGCACCAAGTACTACAACCACAGAGACACCAACCACGACGACTACCCGCGCACCGTCACGTCTTCGCGAAATGGACGGCAGCCTCAGCAGCTCTGCGTGGGTGTGTGCCCCGCTGCTGCTCGCCGCATCCGCGCTGGCGTACACCACTGTGGGCTGAAGAGGTGTATGCGGGCTGTGCGTGCCATCACTCAGCCACGGGATTTTTGTGCGTCTACTGTGGTTGGATGTAACTAATTAAGAAATAATGATTGTGTTTTGCTTTACTTGCTTCCGCTGCTCTGCTGTGTGCCCCACGTTGCTGCTCCCTGTATCCGTCACGTTGAACGCATCCCAGACACACTCAGATGCACGACACGCACACAAATGTTTGCGTGGACGCATTTCTGTGTGCTGGTGCATGTACACTGGAGCCATTCTTTGCAGCTCTCTGTTTTTTGTGTTTTTACTGTTTTGCTTTATTGCTATTTGTTTGGGTTTTTTTTTAATTGTTTTGTGTGTTTTTCTTTTTGTTGAAATATTTTAGGGCGTTGTGCGTTTTTTTGCACTTTCGTTGTTTTGCTATTTTTTCTTGTGCGCTGACGGTGTGTGGTGTAGCGGACATGTCTCTCCTTTTGCTTTCACTCTGCGTTGACGGGGAGTTAGTTTGTGCTGAAGGCTGCACGCAAGTGACAGGAGTGATGATGGCGATGGTGATGACTGGCCGTGTGCTGCTGGTGTGTGCCCTCTGCGTGCTGTGGTGCGGTGCCGGATGGGTTTATGCAAGAGAATTCGAGAACAACGCAGTGGGTGGCTGCATGGCGTCGGGAGTGTTGGGTGAGAATGGGTTCCATATGCCCAGCGGATGTGCTAAAACTGTGCTCGCGCTGCCATTGCGATCAACGTTGCCCGTCACTGCCGCTGGAGTTCCGACTAGCGAGGAAGAGTCTGAAAAGAACTTCAGTAATCCCAATTTAAAGCCCCTATCACCTCCTGTGTCTGGTGGCAGTCAAGGTGTTTCTGGCGGTTCTGGTGGTGCTGGTCAAAGTGGTGGAGCTGACAATAACGCTGTTGTTGGTGGTGTTGTTGGCCCCAGTGGAAGTTCTTCTGGAGGTGTTGTTAATTTTTTGGTGTCTGATTCTTTTTCTGCCGCTACGCCTTCACCGAGTAATCCCGTTGGTGCTGATGGTTTGCAGGGCAGCAAAGGTACGACATCCACCGTGAGCATGGATGCTCCAGAAACAGGTGTTAAGTCACAATCAGCACGACCTCCAGCACCCGCACAAACCAACTTGGATAGACAAGAAGTGTCAATAACAAATGCAGAAACTCAGTCCTCTATTAAACCACACGCAGCAGGGAATCAAATTGTTAATGGTGATGAAACCGGAAGGGAGATCGAGCGTAAGGCCGCAGTGACGGGAGGACCTCCAAGCAACCAACAACCAACACCATTGCAACCAGTTCAACAAGAACAACCAACAACAGACTCGCATACTCGGCAAAAGGAAGAAAGAGACTCCGAAGAAGCACCATCACCACCACCATCACCGTCACCGACAAATTCCACAGAAGGAATCCCAGCAACAAGAGAATTGCAAATTTCAACAGAGAAAAAAAAACAAACGTCACCGTCAGAAACCCAAAAGGAGCTTGTGGGACAAGAAAAGCCTTCAAAGGGTGACGCAGCAGAGCACAACACTAAGGGCACAACAAAATCGGATTCGGTGAAGGACGCAGTTGCCAGCGGCTCAGAGGAAACAACAGCTTCACCCATCTCTACAAGTGGCGGTGCTGATGCGCAGAATGAGGTGAGTAAGGATGGCGACAACGCTCAACGGACTAATCACAAAGAAACACACAAACACCCTGAACCTGATAATACGAATCCTGCTCCTACAGCCAATAATACACAACCACAAACAGCACTAACACTCAGCACCGTTCAAACAAATGATACGGCGACGCCTGGCGACAGTGACGGCAGCACCGCGGTCTCCCACACCACCTCCCCTCTTTTGCTTCTTCTTCTTGTTGCGTGTGCGGCTGCGGCTGCGGTGGTGGCCGCGTGAGAGTGAGGGAGAGAGAGCCGTGCACCGCCCGCACACACACTCGTCCTTCTCTCTCTCTCTGTGTGTGTCCCCTTGCATGGACTCTCGCCCTCACCTCATCCCACGAAGCACACACATAATGTGCCCATTGTATATATTGCATGCACACCCATGCAGGCCCGTTGGTGCTCTCTTTTGCACGAAACGCACCGCTGCCGTCCTGCCTGGCTGCATGGGCGGAGCACCGTAACTGTTTCTGTTTTGTTTTTATTGCATTGAGTGGGCGACCTCTCTCTCTCTCTCCCTGTGTGTGTGTTTTGCTTTACGGGAGCAATGAGAGTGTGTGCGCTGGTCGTCCCACGCTTCGGCTTTTTGTTTTGTTTTTCATTGTTTTGTGGTTGAGTGCACCCATTCCGCGGGCTGCGTGTGTGTGTTTGTGTGTAATGATATGAGTAATTTGCGTGTGTGCTATCTGCCTCTCTCTGCCGTTGCTTTCTTTGGAATCTCTTGTGGCGCACAGCTGCCACGCAAGTATAGGCGCTGACAAACATAAAGGCACATACGCACACGCCATGTCGCTTACGCTGTGGAGCGGTGTGAACGCTGAGAGTGCACACGCACATAAGATTGTGGCTGCGGCTGTTTCTGCGAGGAGGGAGGGAGTATGCAACTGACCTTTTTGCCCGTGATGCGGGCGTGGTACTGGCGTGCAGCCAGTGAATGGTGTGGCATTGATGGTGTCTGAGAAGAATGCCTATCGATTCCCGTCCAACAGCTGCACCTGCCGACGTGTCTTTCTTGTAGTATTTTTGCCGACGGAGGATTCTTCGGCTGTGCGGGGTGATGTGCGACAGCGTCGGTGCGCTGGAGGAGACAGCGGTGAAAGGAATGGCGGCAGTGCGTCGGTGGTGCGAAGGGCGGCTGTGCCCTTTCGCATTCCGCAGGTCTATTTGTGTGTGGGCGTTTCTCGGTGTGTGCTGACGCGTGGCGAATAACGACACACCCGCAGTGACTCCTGCTGGTGGTGACGGTCGCTGTGTGTTTCCGGTGCACTGTTCCTTCGTCTCCTGTTCCGTGTGTCTGTGTGCGTGAGTTGTTGTTGTTGGGAGCGACTGCGATGCGGATGATGCCATTTACTTTGCATGGGTGACGGTTTTCCCCTCTTTTTTTGACATGTTTTTTGTTTATCTTTTAATAACTGACTCATGCACTAGGAAAGAAAGAACACAAGCGCTAAACGCTACCGTGAAATTTGAAGACTCTGAAAGGACCAACAGCAGCACACACACCGCCCACACACACATATTTATATGCTCTCACGTGTTGCTGCAGTGAAGGCACCCCGCACACACAACCGTCGCCGCGTGACCGGATCCAGCGGAGGCAGGAGGGAAGGAAGAGAGAGTGAGCCGCAGAGGCCCAACATGTCCCGGCATCTCTTCTACTCTGCGGTGCTACTTCTCCTCGTCGTGATGATGTGCTGCGGCACCGGTGGAGCTGCATCCAGTAAGGACGTGCCGTCAGCTCCGGGATCTTCAAAGGAGGAACGTTATGTTTGGAGAGACGTGAAAGATGGAGAAACAGTGAGTTCGCTCCGTGTTCCCAGTCTTGTTGAGATGGATGGCGAAGTGTTTGCCGTTGCCGAGGCGCAGTGCACGGAAGCCGGCAAGAACGGCTTTACTGGGATTGCCTCGGAGCTCCTGGTATCGGCTGATCAAGAAAGCCTAAAAGGGGAGTTGGATACAACTGCAGTAAAGACACAAGTGCTGGAGGAATGTCCATCCGATAACGCGAATCGTGCCTGCCGTATAGCAGATCAGGCTGTCTCCCAAGGAGTGAAGAGGGTACATGTGAGCCGACCGACAACAGTTGTGAAGGGAAGTGATATTTACATGCTTGCTGGAAACTACAGTTGGACACTTAACGCTGCTGATCAGGCAGCCGACTGGGGACTCATGCTGGTGAAAGGGAACGTCAGTAAGAAGGATGGCGAAAAGAACAGAATTTATTGGAGTGACAATTACGTTATCCCGTGGAGTCATAAAGACAATCAAAAAGAACCCTTGAAACGACTGGTTGGCAGCGGTGGATCGGGCGTTAAGATGGAGGACGGTACGCTTGTGTTTCCGCTGGAAGGCACGAAGAAGGGAAAGAAGGAGAAAAAGGACGCAGAAGAGGATGGAAAGACCGTTTCGCTGATCATACGCTCCTCGGATGCTGCGGGTTGGACGCTGTCGAAGGGGATGTCTGCCGATGGCTGCAGCGATCCCTCCGTCGTGGAGTGGAAGGACAAAAAACTCATGATGATGACTGCGTGTGATGATGGCCGCCGCAGGGTGTACGAGTCCGGAGACAAGGGAGATTCGTGGACGGAGGCTCTCGGGACACTCTCGCGCGTGTGGGGCAGCAAAAAGGTCGGAAGCGAGAAGGCCGTTAGGAGCGGTTTCATCACAGCGAAGATTGAGGACAGGGATGTGATGCTCGTTACTCTGCCGGTGTATGCCAATAAAGGAGAAAAGGAAGGAGAAAAGGGCAGACTCCATCTTTGGCTGACGGACAATACGCACATTGTTGATATTGGGCCGGTATCCGTGGAAGGAGACGATGAGGTTGCAGCCAGCTCCCTGTTGTACAAAAGTGGAGATAATAATGAGTTGATTGCACTGTACGAGAAGAAGAAGGGCGAAGGGGAGAAACCATCCGGTATGGTGTCTGTGCGTCTGACTGCGCAGCTGGAGAAGGTGAAGGAGGTGCTGAAGACGTGGAAGAAAGTGGACGAAATTGTCTCCAAGCTGTGCACCACTTCACTTGCTCTGAAGGATCCCTCAGCTGACAATGCCTGCAGCGCTGATAAGATCACGGATGGTCTGGTTGGCTTTTTGTCCGGCAGCTTCTCTGGTGACACATGGAGGGACGAGTACCTCGGAGTGAACGCCACAGTAAATAAAGGAACGGAATTAACAGAGGCAACCGGGGCCGCAAAGGCGGAAGATGGCGTGACCTTCCATGGAGCGTGGGCGGAGTGGCCTGTTGGCAGTCAGGGGCAGAATCAGCTGTACCACTTTGCGAACTACAACTTCACTCTTGTGGCGACGGTGTCCATCGACGGTGTGCCGGAGGGAGATAACACTATTCCAGTGATGGGTGTGCAGATGAAGGGTGCAGGGAATTCTGTATTCTTGGGACTGTCGTACGACAGCGAAAAGAAGTGGCAGTTGCGGTGCGGTGAAAGAACGAACGAGGAGCTCAGAAGCATTGGGAGACCGGAGACAAAACGCCACGTGGTGCTTTTGCTACGGAACGGCAACCATGGCACCGCGTACGTCGATGGTCAGCGTGTGGGGAATGAAGAATGTGAATTGGGAGACACGGAATCGAAAGGCATCTCACACTTCTACATTGGAGGGGATGGAGGCAGCGCAGAGAACACAGAAAGTCGAGAAGGCGCGCCTGTGACTGTGAAGAACGTCCTGCTGTACAACCGCCCGTTGAGCTCCGAAGTGATTGGCGTCCTTAACCCGAATAAAGTCACCATTCAACTGTTGAAGGATAAGTCGTCGGAGCCTTCACCAGTTTCTTCTGATTCCGTTAATCCTAACACCTCTCCGGCTACCGCAGATGCTCAGCAAACCGGAACTTTGTCTACTCCTGACGGAAAACATCTGACGGAACAGGGACAATCGATGGGGACCAGTGGTGCGGGCAGTGGCGGTGCATCCACAACAGCAGTGTCCACTATAACTACTCCTTCAGCAGGAGAGGAGTCCGTAGTGCAGTCGGCTTCAGGAACATCTTCTGATGGACATAAAAATGTGGGTGGCGGTTCTACTGCTGATGGCGACCCAACGGTGGAGACAAGGGAAGGAGGAACGAATGGGCAGGAGGAGGAGGTTAATACGCAGATCAGGGAAGTAAATGCTACGGCACTCAGCAGCAGCCTCGGAAATGTGTCGCAAGAAAATAACAGCGATGCCGGCACCATGCGTGGGAGCGGACTGTTGCCATCGCTTCTGCTTCTGTTGGGACTGTGGTGGTTTGCCGCTCTGTGAGGCGTGACTGGCTGCCGCGTGGGACACTTGCGAGCTTCCCAGCACAGAATTACTTTTCCCGGGGAACTAACTTTTTTTCTTAAGGCGATTTCTTTTTTTTTTTTTGCTTTTTTTATAATTGTTTTTTTTTATTGCTGTGCGTTTTTTTTTTTTTTTTTTTATGTTTTACTTTTTTCTTTTTTCATGTTTTTTTCCTTCTCACTCCCCCATCCCTTCTCTTTTTTGCTTTTGGGGGCAATCACTATGGACGTTTTTTTTCTTTTCTACTCTTCCCTCTTTTAATTGTTTCTTCTGCACTCTTCCTGTGAGGGGTGCCGTGTGTTTCCCGCCCAACTGCTCCACTCGCACACCCACCGACACGCTCATGACGACGGCCCTGTGCGCCTCGCCTGCTGCACGCATGAGGAGGGGCCGCGACGAACGGCGCGCTGAGGGAGCCGTGACGTGTGGGCGTGCGACGAGGGCCTGTGGGGCGGAGCACACATTTCTTTCCCTCTTGTTTTGCTTTCTTTGCTGCCAGGGCGGGCAGACACCCGCAGCGCCACACACACACAGCCACACCCTGCCGCCGTGTTTTGTATTCTTTTGTTTATTCGATGGATGTGGTTTGCCGCCACCGTGCGTGATTGTTGAGGTTGGGGCCGTGCTGCATGTATCGCTGCCATCCAGCTCTGCCTCTTGCTGTGTTGATGATGTGCCTCCCTGTGCTTCTCTTCTCTTCTGCTACTCCAGCACACACACACACAAAAGTAGTTGCACAGTGCTCTGCAAGAATGCTCTTGGCGACGCCGGACGTTGGCTTGCATCCCGTGCTGAAATGGCGAGGCCGCTGCGTGTGTGCCTGCGGTGGGAATCACGGTGCCATTGGATGGATGTGTGTGGGATGCCTTTTGCATTGAGTTTGTGGCCGGCTGACGCGGCTGCACGATGTCCGCCATGCGAGAAAGTGTTGCCTGCTCTTGGGGTCATTCTTCTCTGCCCTCTGTTTTTGCTTTGCCGTGTGCGTGCGTTGCTCGGTGTGTGCTGACGCGTGACGGACGGTGCCACGATGGCCTCTTCCGACGGTGACAGTCGCTGTGCTCTCGGCACACATCCACACACTCTTCCTTGTCTCTCTGTGGGTGTGATTGCAGCAGGGCATTGCTGCCAGCGTGATGGGGACCACGACGGCGTCACCCCTCGAGAAGGTCCCACGCTCTGTCGGTTGTGGAGCGGCGAGGCGGTTTGCCCGCAGTTTGACTGACAGAACCGCACAGTCGTTTCATTGCTTTCGCTTCGTCGGCATCACCCGCTGCGGTGGTGTCCGCAAGAGCCTCAGCCCCGATGAGGATGGCCTCGTAGTTATCTGGCAGCTCAGAACTTCAGGGCCTTTGCCCTTCAGGATCGCCCCTGCAGCACGACTGGCGCAGCAGCGGCCAGGCATCGTACTTCTCCAGGAGTGCAGGCACCAGAGTGCCCCAGCGACGAGGCTCGTTGGCTGCACTGACCTTCCACCAGGCCTGCAGTGGGCGTGCCGGTGGCGTGCCCTCGTGGTGCGCCACACCTTGCCGTGCGAGCGCCTGTTGCTCGTGGCCCCAACTGCCTGGAGAGCACTGCCTTCCGCGTGCGCCCACCGGCCAGCCCCAGAGTGCACGTGGTGAACTTCTGCAGCCTTTCACGGCAATTGCTCACGCTGCTCACTTTGCGAGCACCATTCGTCGCCCTGGTCCTGCAGCGCCTATTGCGGGCGACGCGAATTCACACCATGAGCTGCGGGACGGTCGCTCACCATCCACGACGGCAGGAGAGGACCTCGCCGCCACCTCATCCGGCATGGAGTGTGAGCTGCCCGACGACCCGGCACAGGCAGCGTGGATTAGCGGCCGCAGCGTCTCGTTTCCCGACGTGATTGCGCAACGCGTACTGCGTGTCTCCCACTTGACGTCCACCCGTTTACATGGAGTCGGACCACCATCCGCCATTCCACACTGCAGAGACGGAGGACGGCCTTCCGCGACAGACAGGCATGCTGCCACGACGGAAACATGCCGTTGTCCTGCGCGAAGCTGACTGCGATGCTTCCACCTCGGCGTGTGCAACGCCCCTGTCCACCGTAATCACATGGTTGGAGATGCACCGAGGCACCGTGTGAGCGGCAAGGCACCATCCCGCGCGGCAGCCGTAACAGTCCCACAGGAATCTGGACGGACGGAATGGAGCATGCCGAGTGTGTTTTGGAGCCAGCATGCAACGCGCAAACAGCCTCAGCAGGAGGCAGTCCACCCCGTGCTGAAGTGCTCTGCAAACGGGAGGACCGCAATCATGCCCTTCGCCGTGGCTTCTCCATGCTGCTAGTGGTCCGTGCGAAACAGTTTGGTGCCCTCTCGAGCCCAAGTCCTGTGATACCCCGAGGCATGGCGGCGCCACGTCCCTTCCCTCTGGGATCGGCTGTGCTGTGGTACTGCTGGGACCGCGTCTGTGCTGTGCCTCCGCCAGAACCTCTTCCCGACGTGAGCACCGCCACTCCTTGCCGAAGAGCAAGCGGCTGGTTGACGTCCTCCTGTCCACTCCTCGGCAGACCGGCACGCGCCACGCAGATTGCAAGTGACTTTTTATCTCGGTGGTGCCGTCCCTCTCACACTGAAGAAGCAGGACCGCCCCGACCTCCTCCGGAACCTCCACCTGGCGTGTCGACGGCACCTCCTCGTAGAACGACGAGCGGCATGTCAACGTCGTCCTGCCCAAGCTGCAGCAGACTCTTCTTGTCCGTCCATCGTATGAAGGTACACGCCCGACGTGTCCACCCTGGCACTCCAATCGCTGAGAAAGGCATCGCATTTGGATTCTGCGACAGCTCCACCGTATTCCCAAGAAGTGCCTCACGCGCAGGTCACTACCAAAAATGTCAAGCGTATCAACGGGCTAAAAACGGACAGCGCAACTCTGCAAGCTCCAATGACAGCCATAGCCCTTCAGCCACTCCGCTACGGCAACCACCACCAGCCGCTGAGCCGCCTGAGGGTCCACGGGAGGCCCTGCCGCACATGCTGTGGGATAACCCCTCTCGCACGATAGCACCGTTTAGGCGTAAAAACTGGCCACATTTCTACGGACAGTCCTCAGCCTATCAACGAATAGTGACCGCAACGTATAACAAAAGGAAAAATTCCCTTTTCCTCAGTAGAAAAAAACGTCATCGTTAAATTCACAATTATCACACAATGAATTCATTTCGTACTACCGCTCTGAGCTGCAATACTTCCTGGCACCATCCAGGTCCCATGTCGACAAATCGATGCAGATAGACGCCCATCCATTCCTCCTAATGACGATGCATTTCTGCGACGTACCCTCAGATCCAAAACGAGAATTCTCTCAGCACAGCCGGGATCGACCTCGCGCTGGCGGCACGCACCGCTTTGTCAGAGGAGCAGGAGTACGTCAGGGTGACAGCAAGGCACCCGCATGCACAACACATCACAGGCATCATCGCAACCAGAGGCACCAGCAGCACTGCAGACCGTGAAGTGACGTGGATCAACAGACGCATGCTGTACGTGATGGAAGACACTTCATGGTTTGAAAAGAATAAGAAACACGGACAATATCTCAAAGGAAAAAATAATAATAATAAAAATAAAAAGTCATGTGTCCGCAGTCAAAGCAGGCCAACAATCGATAAAAAAAAGGTAATGAGTGCACTCAACCGCAACACAAGTAAAAAAAAATAAAAAATAAAAAACAAAAAGCCGAAGCGTGGGACGACCAGCGCACACACTCTCATTGCTCCCGTAAAGCAAAACACACACACAGGGAGAGAGAGAGAGAGGTCGCCCACTCAATGCAATAAAAACAAAACAGAAACAGTTACGGTGCTCCGCCCATGCAGCCAGGCAGGACGGCAGCGGTGCGTGTCGTGCAAAAGAGAGCACCAACGGGCCTGCATGGGTGTGCATGCAATATATACAATGGGCACATTATGTGTGTGCTTCGTGGGATGAGGTGAGGGCGAGAGTCCATGCAAGGGGACACACACACAGAGAGTGGGTGAAAGACGAGTGTGTGTGCGGGCGGTGCACGGCTCTCTCTCACTCACTCTCACGCGGCCACCACCGCAGCCGCAGAAGCACACGCAACAGGAAGAAGAAGAAGCAAAAGAGGGGAGGTGGTGTGGGAGACCGCGGTGCTGCCGTCATTTTCGGCAGGCGTCGTCGTATGATTTGTTTGAGTAGCTGCTGTTGATTGGGGTGATGCCTCACTCATTTTGACGGTGTTGCTCTCACTTTGGTCGGGCGGTGTCATGGAAATTGTTTGAGTGGCAATGGCCGGTGCGGCCGTGGAAGTTTCCCGAGGTTGTTCCAAGTAAGGAGTGACATTTTCATTTTCCTGGCCCTCTTCAGACGGTGCGGCATCAATAATTTCAGTACTGCTCGGAGTATCTTCTGTGCTCTCCTCACTATTGTTGCTGACGACATCGTTGTTACTTGAAGCAGGTGGCGGATCATTACGCTGTTGATCTCCAATTGATGTATGCTTCTTGTCCTCTTGACTGAGTGAAGCCCCCGGTTCCTCTAGTATACCTTCGTCTGGTCCACCTTGCCGCTCTTCTTGCAATTGTGTTGAAGGTGGCAGTGAATCCTTATGTTCGGGGCTGGAGTGTGTCTGCTCTGTTGGTGATTCAGTCTGTAAAGCAGCTTGCAATGGCGGATCCCCCAAAGGGTTCAGTTGTTTTTGCTCCGCGGAAAGGACTCCTGCATCACCAGGCACCGTGTGGCCGGTAGCATTTTCGGAAACTCCAACACCTGTAGAATCAAGAGATGAACCAACAAGAGGTGCCTCCTCCAAAGCTTCCTCACAAAAACCGCCGCCGACACCGCACCACAGCACGCAGAGGGCACACACCAGCAGCACACGGCCAGTCATCATCATCGCCATTACTCCTGTCACTTGCGTGTAGCCTTCAGCACAAACTAACTCCTCGTCAACGCAGAGTGAAAGCAAAAAGGAGAGACATGTCACACAACCACCGCACAGCGACAAATGCCAGCCCACCAGCAGCAACAAACACACCATGAGACAGTTGGAATCAGTAAAAGGCAACACACACAAACACACACCGCCCTAAAGCAATCAATCAGCAAGAAAAACAAACAATTAAAAACACGAGTAAAGAAGCAACAAAAAAGTAAAAAAAAAGCAACTGCAGAGTTTGGCTCCAGTGTGCATACACCAGCACACAAAAATGCGTCCACGCAAAAAGTTGTGTGCGTGCCATGCATAAGTGTGTCTGGGATGCGTCCAACGTGACGGATACAGATAGCAAAAACGCGAAGCACAAAGCACGGCAGCGGAAGCAAGTAAAGCAAAACACAATCATTATTTTCTCTTATTTATTTACATCGGACCACAGTAGACACGCACAAAAATCCCCGTGGCTGAGTGCTGGCACGCACAGCCCACACACAATTCTTTAGTTCACAGCGGTGTACGCCAGCGCGGATGCGGCGAGCAGCAGCGGGGCACACACCCACGCAGAGCTGCTGAGGCTGCCGTCCATTTCGCGAAGTCGTGACGGTGCGCGGGTGGTCGTCGTGGTTGGTGCATTTGTGGTGGTTGTAGTACTTGGTGGCTCTGGCGCAGTGGTAGTGGTCGTAGTTGTAGTTGTCGTCGTCGTCGTCGTGGTTGGTGCTTTTGTCGCAGTTGTGGCTGTTGTCGTATGTGGCTTTATTTCCGTATCGGTTTTTTTCCTACTCTGTCCCGCATTGACCGTATCTGGTCCCTGTAACACATCGGGGTTTTCTTCTGAAACCCGTTCCGTAGTCTTCACCGTACCTGTTGATTCTTGAGAATTGGGCGCTGGTTTTACTGTGGGTAATGATTCTTTACTTGCCTCATCGTTGAGCAATGCAGTCCCTGCAGGCAATGCTGTTTCTGAATGCACAATTTTTTCTGAAGGATTATTCTTATCAGAGGATGGCACAACCTTGGGAAGCAGTGAATCATCATGCTCCTTATCAGCGTCGGGGGAAGGAGGGGGAGGAGCACCAACACTGTTATCAGGAGGCACCACAGCCAAACGTAGAGGTTCACTGCCATCAACTTTACTGCCATCAACAACACCAGTCCCGCCAAGAGTGCCGGAAACAGTATCAGAGCGATCACCCGAAGTTAAATCCGAACCAGTGTTGACTTTAGAATCTTCTTGCTCATTTGAGGCCTCAACAGCAGCGACAGACAAAACAGAACGCAAAGGCATCATGAGCGCAGGTTTATTACATCCCCTCGGCATATGAGAGCAATTCGTACTCAACTCTCCCGAAGTCACACAGCCTTCCTGTGCATTGTTGTCAAGATCTTTCGCATAAACCCATCCGGCACCGCACCACAGCACGCAGAGGGCACACACCAGCAGCAGCACACGGCCAGCCATCATCATCGCCATCACTCCTGTCACTTGCGTGTAGCCTTCAGCACAAACTAACTCCCCGTCAACAGAGAGCAAAAAGGAGAGACACGTCACACAGCCGCGCACAGCGACAAATGGCAATGCACGCACCAGGAGGCAGTTGAAAACAGTGGAAGGGCAAAAAACGCACGCAGCCCCGCAGCAATTAGTCTGCAAAAAAAAAAAAACAATTAAAAAACACTAATAGACAAACAGCAATAAAGTAAAAAAAAAAAAAAAAAAGGAGCTTCACAGTATGGCTCCAGTGCGCATGCATATGAGTGTGTCCGCGATGCGTTCCACGTGACGGATACAGGGAGCCACAACGCGGAGCACACAGCAGGGCAGCGGAAGCAAATAAAGCAAAACACAATCATCATAATTACTCTTACTTTATACATCGCAGCAGAACACACGCACACAAGTCCCGCGGTTGAGTGCTGGCACGCACAGCCCACACACACACAATTCTTCAGCCCACAGCGGTGTACGCCAGCGCGGATGCGGCAAGCAGCAGCGGGGCACACACCCACGCAGAGCTGCTGAGGCTGCCGTCGACTTCGCGAAGATGTGACGGTGCGCGGGTGGTCGTCGTGGTTGGCGCCTCCGTAGTCGTTGTGATGGTCGTCGTCGTTGTCGTTGTGGTTGGTGCTTGCGTTGTAGTCGTCATGGTCGTGTGAGCAGAAGCTTCAGACGGCTTGATCACTGGCGCAGAGGGCATTGGACTGGTGGCATTTGTATCGGCTTCAGGCTTAGAATTCCTGTCATCCTCCGGCGACTTTGTTATAGTGGCCGTCGTGGTTTTCTTGGCATGACCTTCGGCTTCTTCATGTGCTTGTTTTGCGGAAACATCGCTGAGACTTTGTAGCCCTGTATCATCGTCCGTACCTTCTCTGTTTACCGGATTGTGAGCGTTATCTGTTTGAGGATCCTGATCTGTCAAAACTCGTTTTTCACCGTTAACTCTATCCTGGTCCAAAACGGGCTTTAGACCTTGCGGTCCTGACTGACTGGTCGCCTGTAGTGTCTCTTGTACTACTGTTCTAGAAGGCGATGGATCGGGGCCAATTAAATCAACTTTAGGCTTCTCCGGAGTCGCTGACGCGCATACGGACGGGCAGCAGCACAGGGCGAGCACCAACAGGGCGCACAGCAGACGGCACGTCGTCATCGTGAGTGTGGTCGTTCAGTGGTGTGGAGCTGATCTGCACAGTGAGGGACATGGAGAGCAACAGGGGAGACGAGAGGTGCGGCAGACACACACAGAGGGCACACCACATGAGGAGAGGGCAGCAGCCAGGCATGCACCGTACGCCGCACACCACGCACGAAACACACTCCAATCCACGGCAGCAGGCACACACACACACAGCCCTGCCGCAACACCAACACACAGATGGAAGAGGGAGAAGCAAACAGGAGCGGCACACAAGGCTCCACCGCATGTACACACGGCGAGAGCGGTCCGTCGTGACGGCACCCCTCACGGAGGGTACGCACACACACAAGAGAAGGTGCAGCGCACACAGCAACACGAAAGCAAAGTAACAATAAAAAAGGAGGAGATCCACGCACACCACGTGGATTGTTGGTCCACGGGAAGTGCAGCCAATATTCATCACAAAATAATTCAGTTACCTTTGGCCTTCGTTCATATTAAGTGCACACCACTTCATGCAAGCACGGCCATCGCAGCAGCACAACCAAAAAAATATGGGCGTAAGGAATGGAATAAAGCAAGCAACCATTTATTTGTGTTTCTGTTTAATGTTGGCCGATGTCCGCATATGTTCTTTTTTTGTTTTTGCTTTGCGGAGGGCAAACCTTCATGCCTGGGTCGTGTGTTGGGGATTCCTGCAGGGTGCACAATTATGTTTTTTTTTCCTCCTGTGAATGTTGCTTGTGTTGGTGCAGCCAACAATTCGGTTTGTGTTGTTCCTGCCTTTCGCTGGTAAAGTGCTGCAATAGATGTTTGTTTCCCTCTTTTCGTTGCTGTGGCACCTGATTCCTCACCGTTTATTGCGGTGGGAATGAAAATATGTGAATGGACTCCCACACACCAGAGCGCACCTTCGCTCCTATTTATTGGTGCATGGAAGGGCATGTGTGTTTGGTGGTGTCTCGTCCATATATTTTGTGGGTGTACATTCCCCTGCAGGCTGAGGGCGGGGTGACGCTCCGTCGCGGTGCACTTCCCTCGCATGCCACCCACTGTGATTCATCATGCATCACCCCCTCACACATACTCCGTGGTGCCACACCGTTGATATTATTGCAGCCGCTGTGATTCCGCGTATTTCACGCATTTGATTGTGCCACAATACATCCGCTCGTGTGGCCGCCGCATCCAAACAGCGGTGCCCAACACCGTGAGCGGCAGTCCACATCCTAGCATGTCCCAACGCAGTGGTGTTTGACTGTCAGCCAGGCGTCAGACAACAGGAGAGTCTTGTGCTGGCAGCACAGCACACGGAGCTGCAGTGAACGACTCGGGCGGGGACGCATCTATTTGTCGCAAAGCAGTGAAAAGGAGTCGGGCAAAATAATGCCGGCTGCATTCACGACACCATATCCACAGCCAAAGCATGCGACGCGATGTGTGTTTCACTGGTGCTGTGAAATGCCTGCAGACGACGTCACTAGTGGAGGCACACCACCCATGATCAGCGGACAGACAATAATCGGCATGGGAGGCCACAAAAGGCAGCAACGACGCCAGCAGCAGGAGCAGCTCTCTCTCTCTCTCTCTGTTGCCTCCGAGAAGTAAATATTCCGCCAGCCACAGCCGACTGTGCAATCGTGACGCTCCATGCACGTCGTGGCTGCGTCCACACATCCTGTTCCCTGCTGCGCCTCGAAAGATGCCTCACTCCGTCCACTAAGTGCATCGGTGTGGGCCGTGCCTGGGCTGTTCGTGAGGACCACAACGATGTAAGGGTCACCGAGTCGCAGCACGTTTGCTGTGGCGTTGTCGCATGGCACCTGCACACGCACGCAGCGCCTGCATCCCTCCCTTTTGTGTCCGCCCTCTGCCGGAGTGGTCACACACACGGGCAGCAGCAAAATCGCTTCACCCTCGACGATCCAAAATCAACACCGACATCCCTCGCGACGCAAAGATCTCAGTTGCCAGCACGGGCTTCCTGCCGCTCTGCCATCGACGCTAAAACACGGCACAGTGCACGCACTTATTTTCCTCGTGTGCAGTCAGCCTTTTGCTTCACACATTCTTCGATGAGCTGACGCCCACAAAGGCACGCCACAAAAGGCCACTGTGATCGCACACGCTCTTGCAATGAGCGTCGGTGTGTGCATGGATCCGCTGCTCACACGTGCTGGCAGGCAGCCTGCAGCCGGTGCCCTCGTGCCACTCCATCGGCTCCAGCATGGAAAAGAGAAAACGGCCCATTCCCGATGCACTTATTCCCACCGGCAGCACCAACACGCTGGTCGCCAGCCGTCATTCCTCAGCACATCCAGGAATGCCGAAAAGTGACGTGGAGCTGTCAGCCAGCAATGCCACAATCCCCGCACACATGTCGGCTCCACCAGAGAAGACACAAAAATCACAAACAACACCCTTCACATGTCATCCGAACATCATTCCGACACACCGCGACACGCCAAACAGAAGTATTCGTCACTCCAATGCACCTCCCCACACAATCACATATTCCATGCACCACGCACGGCAGCAGCTCACACGCCGTCAAACAAATGTTATTCGGATCAGTGTTATCCACGTGCTGCAGTGGGAAGTAAACAAAAGAGACGGGCTGCCAAACACCAAAAAGAGTGCAACGACTGGCCGCAACTCAACGGAACGCAGCCACTCAAATGAATTCAGTCCTCATGCCCTCAACCTCCCTCCTTCCCCCACAAAAGTCCCACAAAATTAACATCAAATGCACTGTTAAATAAAGCCGCCGTGCAACACAAAACAAAGCCGCAGTGCCTCCTGCTGCCATCCGGGCCGTTGTTGTCGCCTTCACGGGGACAGACGCCCATTGGCTATTTAAAACGACGTGCTACACCTGCAACGCATCTCCTGCGCTTTGAGGCGCACGTGCCTCACTATCACCAGAGACGCCCACGCACCGTCGGTACGCACCACATTGTGAAGGAAAAAAGAATACACCAGAGTGACAACGAAGCACCCGCTGGCAATCGCGTCACAGGCATCATCACAGGCAGCACCAAAACCGCTGCAGTCAACTGTGGGTGACGTGCATCAACTGCCGCATGGCTTATTTGGAAGAAAAAACGCGGTGGCTTTACAAGAATACGAGTAGCTGCCACTTCCTCAGCAGGATAAACGATGTGAAAACAAAAAGAAATATTCAGTCATATGCAGTCAAAGCATGCCGCAAATCAAAAAAGCAGAATCGGTGCTCTCAACCACAACACAAGTAAAACAATGAAAAGAAAAAAAGAAAAAGCCGAAGCGTGGGACGACCAGCGCACACACTCTCATTGCTCCCGTAAAGCAAAACACACACACAGGGAGAGAGAGAGAGAGAGGTCGCCCACTCAATGCAACGGAAGCAAAAAACAAAAACAGTTACGGTGCTCCGCCCATGCAGCCAGGCAGGACGGCAGCGGTGCGTGTGCTGCAAAAGAGAGCACCAACGGGCCTGCATGGGTGTGCATGCAATATATACAATGGGCACATTATGTGTGTGCTTCGTGGGATGAGGTGAGGGCGAGAGTCCATGCAAGGGGACACACAGAGAGAGAGAGAAGGACGAGTGTGTGTGCGGGCGGTGCACGGCTCTCTCTCACTCACTCTCACGCGGCCACCACCGCAGCAGCAGCCGCACACGCAACAACAAGAAGAAGCAAAAGAGGGGAGGTGGTGTGGGAGACCGCGGTGCTGCCGTCACTGTTGGCAATCTTTGTCGTCGTATGATCTGTTTGACTAGTTCCTGTTGATTTGGGTGATGCCTCACTCATTTTGACGGTGTTGCTCTCACCAACGTCAGTCGGTGTCGTGGAACTTGTTTGAGTGGTAATGGCCGGTGCGGCTGTGGAAGTTTCCAAGGGTTGTTCCAAGGAAGGAGTGACATTTTCACGTTTTTCTCCTTCTTCTGACGGTGCGGCATCAATAATTTCAGTACTGCTTGGAGTATCTTCTGTGCGCTCCCCACTATTATGGCTGACGACATCGTCGTTACCTGAAGGAGATGGCGGATCAATATTCTGTTGATTTACAATTGATACATCCTTATTGTACTCCTGATTGGGTGAAGTCTCCGGTTCCTCTGGTGGACCTTCGGGTGTTCCATCTTGCCGCTGTTCTCCCGATGATTTTGAAGGTGACAGTAAATCCGTATGTTCGGGGTCGGATTGCGTCTGCTTTTTTTTTGATTCAACCTCTGAGGGAGCTTCCAATGACGATATCCCGGCTGGCGAACCCCTAACCTTATTCAGCTGTGATTGCTGTGCAGAAGGGTTTTCCGCTCCACCAGGCACCGTATGATCGGTGTCTTTTTCGGGACCTCCAGAACCACTCTCAGAATTAGCAGGTAAATCCCCAACAAGTGCCGTATCCTCCTCCTCGTCACACCTACAGCCGGCACTGCACCACAGCACGCAGAGGGCACACACCAGCAGCACACGGCCAGTCATCATCATCGCCATTACTCCTTTCACTTGCGTGTAGCCTTCAGCACAAACTAACAACACGTCAACGCAGAGTGAAGGCAGCAAAAAACAATGCACAGTAAAAAACACTAGCAGCCCATCCAGTAACAAATGGCAGCACCCCAGCTGCAGCAGCGCACACACCATGAAACAGATGGAATCAGTACGATTGCAGAGCTCGCACACCGCCCCGCAAACCAGAAGTTTAAAAAGCAATAAAAAAACAATAATTAAAAAAACTAACCAGGGCTCCAGTGCGCATGCATATGAGTGTGTCTGGGATGCGTTCAACATGACGAATGTGGGGCACAACGCGGAACACACAGCACGGCAGCGGAAGCAAGCAAAGCAAAAAAACAATCATCATAATTACTCTTACTTTATAAATCGGACCAAAGTAGACGTACACATGTCCCCGTGGCTTTGAGTGCTGTCACGCACAGCACGCACATTTCTTCAGCACAGAGTGGTGTACGCCAGCGCGGATGCGGCGAGCAGCAGCGGGGCACACACCCACGCAGAGCTGCTGAGGCTGCCGTCGATCCTGCGAAGACGCGACGGTGCGCGGGTGGTCGTCGTGGTTGGCGCCTCTGTGGTTGTAGTACTTGGTGCCTCTGGCGCAGTGGTGGTCGTAGTGGTCGTAGTCGTAGTTGTAGTGGGTGCCTTTGTCGTAGTGGTCGTAGTTGTATTTGGTATCTGTAACTTAACCTCTTCATTAGGTTCTGACAATTCCGTATTATTTTCTGAATTACGTACCACCGAATTACCGGAATTAACCTTTGAACCTATCAGATTGGTGTTCTCACCATCTTTCCCTGACTGATCAGACGCACTTGTAACTCCCTGCTTAGTAGACGACACAACTGGTTCCACTCCCACAATGACCTTACCTGGTCGCTGTGTCGAAACGGGTTTTTCCACTGAATCCTGACCGTCATCGGGTTTACCCTCAGGATTCTTTGGTGGTGTGGGCGGCATACTGGATTTTTTTGACAATTGAATATCATTTGCTGTCCCGCACACGGACGGGCGGCAGCACAGGGCGAGCACCAACAGGGCGCACAGCAGACGGCACGTCGTCATCATCGTGAGTGTGGTCGTTCAGTGGTGTGGAGCTGATCTGCACAGTGAGGGACATGGAGAGCAACAGGGGAGACGAGAGGTGCGGCAGACACACACACAGAGGGCACACCACATGAGAGGGCAGCAGCCAGGCATGCACCGTACGCCGCACACCACGCACGAAACACACTCCAATCCACGGCAGCAGGCACACACACCACACAGCCCTGCCGCAACAACAACACACAGATGGAAGAGGGATAAGCAAACAGGAGCGGCACACAAGTCTCCACCGCATGCACATACGGCGAGAGCGGTCCGTCGTGTCGGCACTCCTCACGGAGGGTACGCACACACACAAGAGGAGGTGCAGCGCCCACAGCAGCACAAAACAAAGTAACAATAAAAAAGGAGATCCCCGCACACCACGTGGATTGTTGGTCCACGGAAAGTGCAGCCAATATTCATCACAAAATAATTCAGTTGTGTTTGGCCTTCGTTCATATCCAACGCACACCACTTCATGCAGGCCCGGCCACCACCGCAGCAGCAGCAGTAGCACAACTAAAAATGCTCGCAAGGAATGGAATAAAGCAAGCAACCATTTATTTGTGTTTCTGTTTAATGTTGGCAGATGTCCGCATATGTTTTTTTGTTTTTGCGGAGGGCAAACCTTCATGCCTGGGTCGTGTGTTGGGGATTCCTGCAGGGTGCACAATTATGTTTTTTTTTCTCCCGTGAATGTTTCTTGTGTTGGTGCAACCAACAATTCGGTTTGTGTTGTTCCTGCCTTTCGCTGGTAAAGTGCTGCAATAGATGCTTTTGTTTTTCCTTTCGTTGCTGTGGCACCTGATTCCTCACCGTTTATTGCGGTGGGAATGAAAATATGTGAGTGGACTCCCACGCACCAGAACGCACCTTCGCTCCTATTTATTGGTGCATGGAAGGGCATGTGTGTTTGGTGGTGTCTCGTCCATATATTTTGTGGGCGTACATTCCCCTGCAGGCTGAGGGCGGGGTGACGCTCCGTCGCGGTGCACTTCCCTCGCATGCCGCCCACTGTGATTCATGATGCATCACCCCCTCACACATTCCGTGGTGCCACACCGCTGATATTATTGCAGCCGCTGTGATTCCGCGTATTTCACGCATTTGATTGTGCCACAATACATCCGCTCGTGTGGCCGCCGCATCCAAACAGCGGTGCCCAACACCGTGAGCGGCAGTCCACATCCTTGCATGTCCCAACGCAGTGGTGTTGGACTGTCAGCCAGGCGTCATACAACAGGAGAGTCTTGTGCTGGCAGTACAACACACGGAGCTGCAGTGAATGACTCGGGCGGCGACGCATCTATTTTTCGTCCAAAAGCAGTGAAAAGGAGTCGGGCAAAATAATGCCGGCTGCATTCACGACACCATATCCACAGCCAAAGCATGCGACGTGATGTGTGTTTCACTGGTGCTGTGAAATGCCTGCAGACGACGTCACTAGTGGAGGCACACCACCCATGATCAGCGGACAGACAATAATCGGCATGGGAGGCAACAAAAGGCAGCAAAGACGCCAGCAGCAGCAGGAGCAGCTCTCTCACCCTCTCTCTGTTGCCTCCGAGAAGTAAATATTCCACCAGCCACAGCCGACTGTGCCATCGTGACACTCCATGCACGTCGTGGCTGCGTCAACACATCCTGTTCCCTGCTGCGCCTCAAAAGATGCCTCACTCCGTCCACTAAGTGCATCGGCGTGGGCCGTGCCTGGGCTGTTCGTGAGGACCACAGCGATGTAAGGGTCACCGAGTCGCAGCACGTTTGCTGTGGCGTTGTTGCATGGCACCTGCACACGCACACACGCAGCGCCTGCATCCCTCCCTTTTGTGTCCGCCCTTTGCCGGAGTGGCCACACACACGGGCAGCAGCAAAATCGCTTCACCCTCGAAAATCCAAAATCAACACCGACATCCCTCGCGACGCAAACATCTCAGTTGCCAGCACGGGCTTCCTGCTGCTCTGCCATCGACGCTAAAACACGGCACAGTGCACGCACTTATTTTCCTCGTGTGCAGTCAGCCGTTTGCTTCACACATTCTTCGACGGGTTGACGCCCACAAAAGCACGCCGAAAAAGGCCACTGTGATCGCACACGCTCTTGCGATGAGCGTCTGTGTGTGCATGGATCCGCTGCTCACACGTGCTGGCAGGCAGCCTGCAGCCGGTGCCCTCGTGCCACTCCATCGGCTCCAGCATGGAAAAGAGAAAACGGCCC